AAGCGGCTTGGTTTAGGTCGGGTTTAACCCTGGCCAGCATGAAAAATTGTTAAATTTGGAAGGTCTGAAAAAAAAGTTAGTTGAAAAGAATTTGCTAGTGAGATAAAAGAAAACTACATTATGGTTAAGAAATTATTTCATTTGCTCAGAATGTTTTTTTTTTTTATTTCTCACAAAAATAAATTTATTAAATACATTTGTATACATTTGAATCAAGGTCACGCCAATGAGGTATATATATGTACTTATATAAAAAAGTGTATTTGCTTTCTATTTGAAAAAAAAAAAATCATGCTACGTGGATAAAATACGTACGTCATAAATGACCCAGTGGGAAAAAAATTGTTTTGGAATAACTCGCCCGTGCGGTTTAATTCATATGATGCTTCTATTTTTAAAAATTCACTCTTTTATCAGGTGTACAATTTTGCTTCCTCCGTTTTCCGATAGGTGGCTGTACCGGCTGAGGCTGGTTGAAATACATAGATGATAATGCCTTTAAAGTGAGTGTGGACAGTGCCTAACGAATTGTCATCGCCGTTTCAGTGACAGTTGTTCTTGTTTTCGTTTTATTCACGCTCGAAAATGTCCGTTTATGTGCCTAATTCTCGCCATTTGCGGGAAGTTTTACTTTTCTGTTACAATTCGAAAAAAGATGCAGCTGAAGCGCATCGAATGCTCTCAGAAACTTACGGTGATGCTGCTCTGAGTGAAAGAACGTGTCGGGAGTAGTTTCAACGTTTTAAAAATGGTGATTTCGATGTCGAAGACAAACATGGTGGTGGAAAAGAAAAATCCTTCAAATATGAACAACTAGAAGCATTGCTTGATGAAGATTCGTGCCAAACCCAAGAACAGCTTGCCGAATCGTTGGGAGAGAGTCAGCAAGCCATTTCAAAACGTCTCAAGGCCCTGGGCATGATTCAGAAAGAAGGAAACTGGGTGCCGTTCAAGTTGAAACCGAGGGACATCGAGCAAAAGTGGTCGAAAGGTACCTGAAAACGCTGAAATGGGAAGTCTGACCCCACCCGCCGTATTCCTCAGTTGTCGCCCCTTATGAGTTCCACCTATTCCGTTCGATGGCACACGGCCTGGCAGATCAACATTTTCAATCCTTCGAATAATTGGAAAAATGGATTGCATCATGGATAGCGTCAAAAGAGGAGTCCTTTTTTCGAGCCGGGAATGGGAGAAAGTTGTCGCTAGCGAAGGACAATATCTGTAAGCACTTTTTCGCAATAAAGCCTTTAATTTTGGAAAAAAACCTGACATATAAAAAATATGAAATATTAAAAATATGTCTTTCATAAAGCTTTTATTATCCCATTAAAAAAAAAAAAAAAAAAAAAAAAAAAAATTTAATTTGAAGTGTATGGTAGTAATCTTAGTAATTTTTATATTTTATTTATAATTAAAATTTTATTGACCTTTAAATACAGGGCGTTAAATGTGCTTGAAATTTATTATCTACAACTACACTTGAATTTTTCTCATTGGGTCATCTATGCTGCTGTGATCTGCTCACAAACATCTTCATACCCATATGATGACTACTTAAATTTGTTAATCAAATAAATTTACTCTACTCTACGCAAATTTAAAATGCAAATTTTATTCGACCAATTGACACTTTCAATAGTTAAAATTAGTTGACCACAATAACAATAACAATAACAACATACGAAACTGATGTACTCATTATTGTACATATATAGATATACATACAAACGAGCGCATACATAAATACATCTCTTAACAAACAATATGCATGCATGTATTATATAATATACATATGTATTCGCTTGCATATGCTTCAACGCGGGTTTTCAGTGCACGTACACAGATTTACTACATGCCGCAGCAGCGCAGCAGCGCATCAGCTACCTCCGATTTGTGTCAAAACTATAAAAATTTTATTTAAACAAATTGGTATCATCACCAAAAAAGGCGGTTTTTTTTGGAATATCACGTAAATTTAAGCTTCTGTATGTGTGTATGTGTGTTATGTTGTACGTAATGTGTTTACAAAGCTTGACAGTTGTGCGGTAATTTGTTTGAACTTTTAAATCCCAACACACACACACACACGTCCATAATCAAAAACAAAAACACATCTTCATTGTTTCTACTTTTTTTTTGAGGTCTATTTTACAGTTTGTTTATGGGCGAGTTCAAGGTGAACGCGAAGTCGAGCCGCGCGCCAGCAACTCACTGACTGGCGTGGCTTTTTTATCTCTTCTTTTGCTGATTTATGTAGTTCATCTCAAAGTATTTCAATGATTTGCCGGTGCTTTAAAAATTTTTATTGGCACAGCTTTTTGGCTTTTTGGTTGAAATTTTTTGTGGAAAAAAATTTTGGTTTTTGAATTATCAAAAGTTTTTCTGGTCAATTTGAAGTCAAAAGGTAAATTGATGTGGAAGCATAAAAAATTTTTTCTGGCAAAATTTTATATTATTTTTAAAAATTTGTATAATCGAATTAGTAGCGTAGTTGGTGGTTTTAGTTTATTTATATTATTATTAGTTTTTTCTTTATTTGAAGTAAAAAAAAAAAATTTTCATAGAATTTAGTTGAGTTACTCGGAGATGAGTTGTTTGATTGCCGGCAATGCATTGCAAAAACTTTAATTATTTATGAATATAAAAGTTTTAAAAAAATTTGAAATGCAGCAAAGCTAAAAAGCGAGAAAGAATATCTTTTTTATTTAATCATGAAAAATGAATTGTGAGACTAATTTAAGTTTACTTTCATCATTTTGAGTCGACAGCAATTGTATTAATTAACTAAAAGCATTGGCGGTCGCGGTAGCCGAGGGGTTAGCATTGCGTACTGCCATTTGGAAGGCTCGGGTACAAATCTCTGCGCCACCAACACCCAAAAGTTATAGAAAATTAATTTAAATAAAAAATTAAGTTCAATTTTCTAATTGGGCGACCGCAGGGAATGTCAACCCCTCCGGTTGTATTACAGACATGAAATAAAGGCTGCTCATAAAAAAACCATCAGCCCTTCGTAGGCGCCTTAGTATAAACTGTAGGTCTTTCCATTTGTTCGGCAAGTCGAACGACCCTGGGAAATTAAGTTTGGTATATATATCAAGTAAAAAGTTCGTTCGGTTTTATTTTATTGATTTTTCAAAATATGTTAACTTTGTATACATTTGTTTGATTTAAGTTAAATATGCGCTGTTTTGTTCGTAAACTTGTTGCCAACGAGAAGCCAACTTCATTTCAACCCTCTCGTAGAAGACTGGGGCCCTATTGGTAAAAAACTCGGAGAGCCAATTTTCACAGGCCTTTCTTGTGGCCAACTTCTCACCATTAAGCGCGTTCGCCATGGACAGGAAAAGATGATAATCGCGTGGTGTTAGGTCCGGACTATATGGTGGGTGCATTAGGACCTCCCATTCGGACTCCTGGAGCTTCTGGCGCTTCAACAAAAACTTTTGTAGCCAGCCTGACGGAACAGAATTTGGCCTCTATTGATCAAAGATGGCCTCTTCTGGATGAGTGTTGCCTTCAAGCGGTTCATTTGTTGGCAGTAGAGGGCCAAATTGAGCTTTTGGCCATAGGCGAGCAGCTCTTAGTAGATGATTCCTTGCTAATCCCACCAAACACACAGCAATACCTTCTTGGGCGTCAATCCAATCTTGGCCACCATCTGGGCTGCTTCCCCGAGGCTTGACCTCGATAGTTTGCGCTCGATGTTGTCGAAAGTGACCCAATTTTCATCGCTAGTCACAATCCGCTTCAGAAACGGATCGATTTTGTCGCAATTCAGCAGCGATTCGCAGATGGAAGTTCGGTCCATCATGTTTTCTTGCGTTCGTGTGACACTCTTACATCTAGCTTCTTTTTGAATCCAATGTTTTGCAAATGGTTCCAAATGGTTTTCTGGCTTATCTTTAGTTCCTCAGCAATTGAATAAGTGCTCACGTGATGGTCTGTTTCGACTACTTCCATGATTTTATCAAAATTTTCGACGACAGGCCTCTCGACGCGTGGTGCATCTTAGACAGCGAAATCACCGGAACGGAACCAAGCAAACCACTTTTGTGCTACACGTTCGTCTACAGTAATTTTTTCAGCCGCTCTGGCTGCATTTTCGCTGCTTGATCGGATAAAAATTGTAAAATATAGCGAATTTTGTCTTTGCTGGTGTCCATCTTTGACGAGCGCTCACAACGTGCTTAGCCAATCTATCGAAAAACTGTCAAAGACAAACTTTTCGCGCGAATAAACACGTTTTCAACGCCGTATAATATGACATTATGCGACACGTACCACTAGTACTATGGACAAAAACCTCATCTCTTAGATAAGAACCGAAAAAACTTATTACTTAACCTTATATATACCCTATGAATTGAGAACCTTATTTTTCGTTAGTTAGAACTTATTTTTAACTGCATATCACCTTATGTGCAGCACCTGCTTACACACTGTTGCAAGTTTTCCCATACCCCGATTTTCAATAAATGAATCAAACATAAATTTTACAATAGTATCTCCACTGCGTGGGTAGAGTAACTTCATGGCTCCTCTTCATATTTTTTTGCTTTGCGTAAGTTCTGCTGCATATTCTTCGGCACGCACTGTTGCCACTTTTCACATTGCATTTGTATTTTCGAATGCCAAATGATATTCGAATGCTATGAGTTGCCATAATTGCATCGTTAAGAATGCCTGTTTTGTTTCTTCCGTTAAGTAATTTGCATACTTTGGAAACTTTGTTTACAAATTTGTGTGGTCACATACAGACATACATAAGTTCATAAGTATACACGTTAGGCATGCTTGCTGGTTTTCATATCAACAAGTCACGAAATCTCTTTTAATGGTTTTATCATAATGAAGTTGTTGTGGTGAAGAATGCAGTTAAATGCTAAACTTTTTACATAATAATAAAATAGAAATATTTCTTTTGCACTAATTATTATTGCATTTCTCCGCACACCTTTTAATTTTCAACATTTTTCTTTCTTTCTCTTTTCTTTCAGCGTGTTCCACCGCTTCGTGTTGACGATTTAATCAACGATTTACGCGATGGTACCAAACTTATTGCACTTTTGGAAGTGCTTTCCGGTGAACGTTTGCCCGTGGAGAAGGGTCGCGTTCTCAGACGTCCACATTTCCTCAGCAATGCCAATACAGCCTTACAATTCTTAGCTAGTAAACGTATCAAGTTGGTTAATATTAATCCAGCCGATTTGGTGGATGGGAGACCACCAGTTGTGTTGGGTTTGATATGGACCATTATATTGTACTTCCAGGTAAGTTGAGGCTATAAGAAAATTATTTTTTTTTATCAAAAGAAAAATGTAAAAAATAAAACAATTTAAACGTAATTTTTTGTAGATATTTCAAGACACCCTGTATATGTATGCACTGTACACATGCATTTAAGAATTTAGCTAGCAATTTTAATGAAACTCCCGGTATTCTGGTAAAGGTCTGGAATATACCACAGAAGCCTCTGGTGTGGTTCAGAGCAGACTCTAAAAACCAAAGCCACGCCAGACTAAGACATAGTCTGACAACATTTTAGTTTGTGACTTTTAATTAGTCCGAGTCTCGAAGCCGCCAGTACTACAAAACAGATGCATATTTCTTTAAATTGTCAGATTATATCAGCTGGTTCTCAACAATTTTTCTTCGAACAGCATTTACTACTACCTTGCTATCGACTATAAATGTTTTCCAAGCTGTAGCTCCTCAAATCAACTCCGTGACTTACTCGATTGCAGTAGACTTCGGTAGAAAATACCAATAGAACACAAAAACTAAAGTCAGTTTAAGACGGATATGAGGAGCGTAGCTCAACTCGATATTCTTAAAAATCCATCTCTGCCTAGTAGAGAATTTTAAAGCGGCTTAAAGCGAAAATCCCGGTATATGGGGTTTAGGAAAAGTCAAACGGAGATGGTTGGACACCACTCTGCGGAATCCCTTTTTTAATCATACGAATTTTAGTAGTTTGACTTCGAAACTCATGACCAACCCATGACAGTCGACCACTCAAGTAGCTCAATTCCGTCGCTTATGATGAGGAATCCTCAATGTACGATAGCAGTACTGAATGGTTAAAGGTGTCAAAGGCTTTGACATTTCCAACGCTACAAAGACGATTTGCGGTTTTGGTTAAGGCCGTGAATTAACAATGTGTTAATGGCTGTGGTACTAAGTACTTTATGGAAGCCATGTGCTACTGTGCTCGGTTGGTTCGTAAAAGACGGGAGCAGTAAATTCTTAATCGCCTTCGCTAGAGAGGTAAGGTGTGATCCCAGCCGATATGATTCTGCTTTTTTGAGTAGTTTCCCCTGTTTAAGTAGCGGGACCACTATATACAAACGTAATTGGGTATTATTAATGTGTCCAGAGGCAAAGTTAGTATCTTGGTGAGTTTGTGTGCTCTTGCTGGTTCCAAGTGTTTTAACATCAGCATCTACCTATCCGTCGGCGCCGACGGATTTTTTTCACAACTTCCTTAAATAAATCAAACGCCGCGCTGGTGTTTGGCAGTCAGTCGGCGGGTCACTTGTCACTTCGTAAAATGTTATAAAAAAAAAGTCAGCTAAAATAGCTCGCGCAATTCTTTGGCTCCCATGCGGTATATCCACCGAAAGAAATTTCCACCCCATGATTGCGTCTGTTCTGGATAGACAACAATTTGCTTGTGGCCCAGGTCTTGGTTGCCCAGAGGAGAGGTTACAGTTCCTTATGTGTTTCATACACTGCTCCTTCGTCCACCTCATCTCTATTCCAATTTTCCCTAGAGAGGAAAAATATAGTAAGTGATCGGTCTTTCATTGAGTTAACTTTATAATTTGAAACCACGAACCGAAGACTGAAGAGACTGCGAAATGCTGCTTTAAGCACTTATTTAGGAACAACCGAGAGAATTATGAGGCAATTAAACTAATTTTTATCATAATTAGAATTTTTGATGATTATTAAATAGTTGGCTTAGTTAATTATAAGCTCTATGTGAACTAAATTAAAGGTTAATTAAGAAACTAGGAAGCACTTTTGTAAGCGCAATCCGACACAAAATGTAATAGGCAACACCTTGTTTTTGCTTGAAAGGCGTTAAAATGCCATTTTTTTGCTATAAAAGTAATTTACCGCACATAACGGTAGCAATGACCTTAAGCTAATCATGGCAAATTATGAGGTTTGCTCCACTTTTATTTATGGAAACGTTTTTAAAAATATATATTGACTTACCTTTCGCTTAACTAATTTCACAATATGCAATATGCACATCGCTTCTTATTACTTTCACCATTTTTAGACGCTTTTAGAGCAAAGAAGATAAAAAAAAATTAAAAAAAAAAAAAAATATACAATTTAATTATAATCGTAATAACAGTGTAAACAATTGTGTGTACTACTATTGTACTTTCCTTTCTATATTTTTGTCTCTTTCTCTCTCTTTTTGGAATCGTTTTATTTTCAAACGATTTTGATTTTTTTTTTCATTCGTCATTTGTTTTATTTTTTGTTAAAAATTTTGCTAATAAAACAAAGCTTCATAAGAAGAGACGGAAAAAATTAGTAGTTGTAATAAATTATGCGCCACAGGTAGGTTTGCAAGTAGTTGATGGTTGATGGTTGTTGTAATTATATAGTACAATATTGATAATTTTGAAATATTTCACAGCGCTAATTGATTTATATATTTTTCGCTTTAAAAGTTAATTTTTAGTTAAACATTTAAACAATTAAATATGGCACAATCAAGTCACACAAAATTTATTTTGCAAATTTGGTTTTTTTTTTTGGATTTTTGGTAAACCACCTTTTTTTTTGGGGCTCTCCCGGTGGTTGGTAGAGCTAAGCACTTTTAATGAAAAATATTTTTAAATTTATATTTTATGTTAGTTATGTTAGAAAATTTATAATAATTGGAAACTGGACTTTTCTTATACCTTTTAAGAATTCAAAATGTTGTTTTTTTCGGGGAAATTCAGGTTGGCCGTTCCGTCTTGAAAATGATTTCAGGTGACAAAGGCCGTTGGCTCGAATAACTTCCCGTCGGGCGCCCCAATTTTCAATCTCTTCTTGCAGCAATAACGCGCCATATATTCGCTTTCAAGGCATCAATCGGTTTGGACTTATCTGCTTAGACCATTGACTTCACATAAGTCCACAGAAAATAGTCAAGCGCTGTTAAATTGCACAATTTTGGAGACCGCGCCACAGGCCCACGACACGAGATAATGCTATCGTCAATAGTTTCCTTCAATAAATTTTTTTGAATGTATGACAACAACGGCAAAGCGCCATCAATGATTCCCTCTGCTCATAAAACGTGCTAAACAATGAGTTTTTGAGAATGTAACGGTGTCTTAACAATGGCTTCTATCCATTCAACTGAAAGTGAGCTTCGCCGCTGAACAAAATGTTCTTTGTGATTCGGTAGCCATCTGAATGCAGGATTTTGTAAGTCTGTAAACAAAGATCCTTTCACAGAGCTCCAATTGTTGTATGCGTTGGTGGATGGTCTGATTCGCCTCTTCTGCGATATCCTGCTCTACAGAAACAATAACTTTGAAACACCAAAAAAAAATATTTGCTCACTTTTACTCTACACACATCTTCTAAATTTTCTTTAAATCAGTCGAGATGATTTTGTTATTGACGGATCTTGCCACGACCTCTCTGAAAGCAGTTTACGCTTCTATTTTGATGATGATCCGTGATGGTTGTGTCGAATTATGAATCAGTTAAACGTCCTCTAATATCTGGTTCAAAGAAGACACATTCCTTCAGCTTTGCGCCTCTGAGAGGCCTGGAAGTTTTAATATTAAGCTTTTGGGAGTGACTTTGCCATTTCCCTTATCAATACCAGCCTTATGTATCTAGTTGTGAGGTGGTGGAAGCTCTAGAGTTTCAGGCAGTACGCTCATTCTAGCTACGTTGAGGTTCTTAGAAATCATTACTGCTTTATTCAGAAATTTATTCGGTCCCTGCGTAACCTCAAACACAAAAACAAGTTAATTTTTTTTAGGCGGGGCTTGCAAATCTTGGTCTTTATATTTAAGTTTTCAAAGAAGCTACTCCTAGGTTTTGTAGGTTTCCTTGAAGTATACTGAATAACCGACAGAAAGTGAAGCCTATCATGCTCTCACGATATCTAAACCAGGTGTTAGCCACACCTGTCAGAAGTGAGTTTAGTCTTGATCTGAGCGACTAGTAGTATTTCTTGTGAAGGTTCAAGTCTCCTATCGTACCTTGCTCGCCCTGGTAAAACAATTCGTTAAATTCAAACTTTGACTGGCCATGCCCATTGGTTCTGGTGCAGCATAATTTTTGTCAGAACTTGGAATCTCTTCCAAGTCCACATTACCAATCTAGAGCTCGATCGTACAGTTCTATTCTTACCATCCATCACCATAGAGAGAAATAATGCGCCAAAAACTGTGCTTCAATAAGATTTTATATAAATTTTTCAGTGCGCTGGAAAAGAAGATTTTGTGGCATGCATTTAGGCGTAGTATATTTTGTTTTTTAGGTACCATCATGAGTATAGGGATTTCTTTTGTAATAATATATTTGGGGTTGTTATGTATTTTTTTATAATTTTTTTTATTTAAATAATATATTAATTTAATTGTGAACTAATCCATTTCACGTTCTTTCTCCCACCCCACACAACAACAGATTGAGGAGAATAGCCGTAACCTTGAATATTTGGGTCATGGTATTGGTGGTTCGGTCAGTTCCCTCGATAGCGTTGGCAAGAATGCCAGCGATCAAAAGGCTGAAAAGTGGAAGCAAGGTGCTAGGAAGACTCTATTGAATTGGGTTACCAATGCCTTGCCAAAGTAAGTTTCGCAAACCCCGCTAAAATTTTAATAGTTTTTTGTATTAATTTCTTGCACTCTCACAGAGACAGCGGTATTGAGGTAAAGGATTTCGGTGCCAGTTGGAGAGATGGTGTCGCCTTCCTAGCCCTGATTGATGCCATTAAGGCAAATCTTGTCAATTTAGCCGACTTGAAGAAGACCAACAATCGTCAACGTCTCGAAACTGCTTTCGATGTGGCCGAAAGTAAATTGGGCATTGCCAAGTTGTTGGATGCAGAGGATGTGGATGTACCAAAACCGGATGAGAAGAGTATAATGACATATGTGGCGCAATTTTTGCACAAGTACCCTGAACCAAAAGTGAGTGACTAATATGAAAGATAATGCTCTCTCGCTCTCTCTTTCTCTTGCACTTTAGAATTGCGCTTAATATTTGATCTTTATTTATATCTTCCCCACAGGGTGCCTCTCGTGATACATCACACATACAACAGGAACTGGACGAACTGCGCCGCTTCCTGATTGAAAAGACTACCGAATACGAGCCCATGGTCATGTCGAATTCATTCCCGCGTGATTTCGCTGAATATCTGATTGCACGTTCAGAGATCGACGCCCACTTGCCGGTCTACAATCGTCTCAAGCAGCTGATGGAGACTCAGAGTGGTTTCTTACAAGTGCCGCGTCCCGTGTGGGAGGACATTAACGCCTTGTGGCAACGTCTACAATATCAAATGAATTATTGGCTGTGGTTATTAGACTCTGAGCTGCCTGGCGAATTCGGTGTGGTCGGCAAGTGGTTGGCTGAAGCCGAGAAACTACTAATGGATAACGAAATACCAAATGCCATGAATGAGGAGACAGCATCGGTGATAAGTAGAAAGCTGGAAGAGCATAAATTGTTCTTTGCCGATTTGCCGCGTATAATGGCAATGTTTGAGAATGCCAAGCGGTCGCCGTTAGTACAGCAGGTGCCTATTGAGCAGTTGCGCAATATGGAGCGTCGCCTGCAGGACGTTGCTCCACGTGCGGCTGAGCGTAGAATACGTTTGAAGTTCTTGGAGCACAAGTGCTGTCTCATCGCTTTCCTCAATTTGGTTGAGAACAAAATGAAGGGTTGGACTGGCAAATATGGTTATGAGGAGAAGGTCTCACAACAATTGGAACAGTACAAGAACTTTGTGTCTCGTAACAAAATCTTCCAAGAGTTCCAGAAGGCATTCGTCGATATGCAGCAAGTGGTGGACGAATACAAGCGTGAGGGTAATGTGCCACGCAGTGATATAAACGAAATCGATCGCTTCATGTATGAGACCGAAGAACGTTGGAAGCGTGTCTCTATGGAGTTGAAATGCTGTCAGAATTCACTCGAGGAGGTTGTCAGCTGTTGGAAGACATGGAATCAGTTGGCGCCCACTTGTGAAGAGTGGCTGAATCTGGCGGAGACTAAGCTCGCACGTTCAGAGGACGAACGTTTAGAGTTCTTCCAAGACATTACTACGTGGAAGGACAAATTCGATACACTTGCCAATGCGGCTAACTATCTGATTGCCTCTTGCGAGGATGGCATCGCTAATAGCCTGCGTCAGAAACATGGCAATTTGTCGGAACGCTTTGAGCGTCTCTTTGCCAACACCAAACAATATATGCATGCTGGTGATATAATACGCGCTCGCAAAGAATACAAGTCAGGCATTGAGCAGCTCTCACAATGGCTGCGCCATGCCGAACAAGTGCTGGAGCAGCGTCAAATGCTCGGCAACACACAACAGATTACGAAATATGGCGAAGACCTGCAAAAGCTGGCAAGCGAAATTGATGATAAAGAAGAACTCTTCAAGACCGTGAGCCGCAACTTCCAAGGACTCATACAGGATTTGCCTCGTGAGGAGGTCGATAAAATGATGAAGTTGCTGAAACAGGAGAAAGAGTCTTTGGTGCGCATACGTGCACAAATACCGGCGAAGCTGCATCTTTTCCACCAGCTGCTCATACAGCAGGAGTCGCTCGAAGCGGGCCAGAAAGAGATACATCAATGGCTTAACGATGCCGAGACCTTGCTGAGCACACACGCGCTCTCGGGTGGCCGCGATGCTATTAGCGACGAGCTGAATAAACATAAAACGTTCTTCTCACGCACCGTCTACTATCGCTCGATGTTGGAAAGCAAGAATAAAGTGTTCCAAAACCTACTGAAATCAGTGGCCGCCGATGACAATATTGACACCTCGCAGACGGCGCACAACATGCAACAACTTAACGAGCGTTTCAATTACGTCATACAAAACGCCGAACAGTGGGAACAACGCTTGAATGACGCCTCACGCGGCTGGCATGCGTTCAAGGAGAACGAGCGTGTCGTTAGCGAGTGGTTGACGCAAGCCGAAACAATGTTGATTGAGAAACATATCGAATCTAAGACAATAATTGAAACCCAGAAATACTTCTTTGAAAATGTCAACGAACGTTGGATGCACAATTTGGTTGAGTCTGCGCAGGATTTGCTCAAGACGCTACCAGCACAAGAGCAGAAACCTGTAGTGGACTCTGTAGAGAAGTTGCAAGGCAAATGGCAGCAAGTTTTGTCGCAAGCACCTTTGCACTTATTGAAACTCGAGTTCCGTCTCGACGAGTCGGCTTTCTATCAAACACTGCAAGAGGTCGAGAAGGAATTGCACTTGGAGCAGCAAGCTTTGAATCGCAACGAGGATATTGACTCAATACTCAGACGCAATGAGCAGTTCTTCCAACAACAGGGACCAATACCACGCATTGAGAAGAGTCTGCAGAATATGCAACGCATCAGCCAGGCTTATGGCTATCAGAAACCGACCGACATGAGTCTGGGTCAGGCCTACGACAATGCCAAGTTACAGTGGCAACAGTTGTCTGGCAAAATCGGTGATATACGTGAGACTTTGCAGCAAATACCCGCACAGTGGGACAGTTATCATGAGAAGTTCAGAGAAATGGTTGAATGGATGAATATTGTAGATCAAAGCTTGAAGAATATTGTCAATGAGGTGAACAGCATGGAAGAGTTCGAGAAGGAAAAGGTGGTCTTCCAGGTGAGTGTGCTGTAAATTGTTTTATTTAAAGCGCCTGCTTGAAGAAAGAATAATCAAAGACTATATAAACTCAAACTTCAGGATCTGTACTGTGTAGAACTTGCAAACTCCGTAGCGAGTAAAGATCATAAGGAGTCAATTTTGATTATTCTTTCATTTCAAGAGTTTCTCTGATCTCAAATGACATCCTAAAGTTTTTCGTAAACCCTTATACTAACAAATTTTTCATCACTACTCCATTCATGCAGCTCAGGGAACTTGTGGTAAAGTTTTCCTCAACTAAATCTTTAACGATTTCTTTTCAAATTTTATTTTTCGATTCCTATTGCTAATCTTCTCACTTCTTCATTTTCAGAAAATCTGTCAAGAAGCAGATAACAAAAGGGAGGACATGAAATGGTTGGTGAAAACGTTAGACTCCTTACTTAGCTACGCCAGCGAAGATGAGGCCAATCTCGAACAGAAGAAGCTGGAAGATCTTATTGCACGCTATAAGAACCTCATACCCACCATCGAAATAACAATGGTTAAGACCGAAGTGTTCTCCAAGTGCTACACGTATCGACGTGAGGTGCATGAGGTTGTCTGCCTGCTTAGCAAAGTTAAGGAGCAAGCTACCAATATACCACCACCCGAAAGCCTTGAACGTGTCAATAAACTGATTGAGGAGCAACAATATGCCATTAGCCAACTGGATCATCAGCGTCCGCATATCATGTCGATGCTGCAACGTGGTCGCGACCTGAGCAAAGACGTGCATGCGCCTTCGTTCGTTAATGTTGAGGTGAAGAACCTGGAAACTGGTTGGCATGAGGCCTACACCGAAACCGCAGACAAGTTGCAATCACTGAAGGGCACACAAGCTGTATGGAATGATTTTGTCGATCAGAAGAATGACATTTTCTCCATGTTGCAGACCGCAGAGACCGAGTTGCGTGCGCTCACGCCACTCCAAACCGATCCGAAGAATGTCAGTCAAGATTTGCAAGCCAAACGTGAACTCAATGTACAACTGCAGCAGGCCTCACATCAGTTGCTACCCAAATTACACTCCCTAAAAGCCGAATTGGCGCCACTAGCCGCAGCCGATAAACGTCCCATACTGGAGAAGGAGGTGACCGAGGTTGAGAAGATGTTCTTCAACACTATGGAACATGTGAAAGATCGTGTTGGTTATCTGGAAGACTACAGTGCCAAGTGGAATAACTACAAATCACGCCTGTCTGAGCTGCAAGAGTGGGCTAATCGCGTTGCGCCGAAGAGCATTGAAGCGCTACAATCTGAAGATCTCACGCCCGAGGAACGTGTAGTGAAGGTGAACGCTTTCAAGGGTGTACTCGGTGAGCGTATGAAGCAACTGGATATACTCGCCTCGGACGCCGCTGAATTGGCGCCCAAAGAGGGTAACATTGCTGAGGCGAAACGTCTTAAAGGTGAAATCACCAAATTGCAAGAGGTGCTCAGCGCTATCAATCGCAATGTTGATCATCAATCAAAGGCCGTGAAAGAGGATCTGGTGAATTGGCAACAGTATCAAACTGGTTTGCAGCAAATCAAACCGATCGTTGAGGAGTGTGAAATCAAGGTAAATACTATAGTTCCTAAGCCCATTACACTTGACGAAGCCGTTGCATTGCAACAAAATGCCAAACAATTCGAAACACAATGCCTAGAGCATTTAGACAGACTCCAAGGCATTTCAAACATTAGTCATAAAATGCTGTGCAAAACCAATGCCCCTGACGAGTTAGATGCCATGCATTCCCGTTGGACATCAGTACATGAAAATGCCAAGCAAGCCAGTGGTAAGCTGGAGAAATTGGTCGCCAATTGGAAGTCCTTCGACGCCGATGCCGCGAAACTCGAGGACTGGGTCAATAAGGGAGAGCAAGCGATGGGCAAGCGTCCGGCTGTGCTCAATACACCGCATGTCGACAAGCTCGAGAAGGAGCTGGTCAAACTCAAGTCGTTCAATAACGAAATTTCCGAACAACAAGCGAAACTCGTTGCGCTCGGCCAATCGGCCGATCAGATTAGTTTGCATTTGGCGCCAGAGGGCGCTGTTGCACTCAAGGATCGCGTGAACGGCATGAAGGCCAAACTGCAGAAGCTTTCAGAGGCAACACGTGCCAACATCAATGAGGTGTCCGATGCGATTATCTCACGTCAAGATTTCAACGCGAAAATGGTGAATTTCTCGAACTGGATGGATCAGCTGCGCAATCAAGTCGCACAAGTTGAAGAGATCAATCCGGAACGTGTCGAGACAAGTTTACATGTCATTCATGCGCTCATGCAAGAGCATGCCGACAAGAAGCCCAGTTTTAATGCCATCTACGATGAGGTAAAGCAACTCTCGCTCTCCGCACCCGCTGAGGAAGCCAAGACACTGAATGACTCCTACACAACGTTGGTCGTCAATTATCAGAACCTCGAGACTAACTTGCAACAGAAAAAGATTGCGCTCGAAAAGTGGACTGAGATTTTAGGCTGGAAGAATGAAACCGAAAGCCATTTGAACTACCTGAAACACCAGCTGGAGAAACCAGAAGGTCCGCAACCACAAGAGCTTAATAAGATTATTAATGAAATCGATACCATCGGCAACTCGATAAGCTATTGGAAGTCGCAAGCCAAGGAGATTGATGAGAGCCCCGCCATTCAACTGCGTGACGCCTTGACACGCAAGCCGCTGATCGCCTCACAGATCGTTAATGATGTCGAGAACAAATTGGATAATCTGAAGCTGCGTTCTCAGGCACAGAAACAACAGGCGGAACAGATGAATGTACGCAAAGAGAAATTCCAAACCCTTGGACAGAACTTTGGCCAGGCGTTGTTAGATAATCGGGCTAAATTGAATTGTATACTTCAACAGAAACCCGGTTTGCATAATATTGACCAAATCATCGCCGATTTGGTAGCGCTGAACGAAGTCATCAAGGGTCAGGCTGACATGAAGAATCGTCTGCACGATGAGGGTTCCGTATTGATGCGTGAAGATATCGCCAGCATGCCTGCCATACAAGAGAGTCTTCTCTTCTTCGATAAAGACTATGACACATTGCAAAATGAGATTGCCGAACGTATACAGAAGTACAATCTGATCAGTCAAGCGCTACGCGAATATGCCGATACGAAGGACAAGTTCGCAAAGGAACTAAAGAAGGCCGAAGACCTTTTCAATGCCATACCTCAGCAGCCACGCGATGAGGTGGAGTTGCAACAGGCTGCGGAAAAGACTCGAAAGACTATGGAGCAGATCCGCAAGTCCAAGACGAATCTCGATGATCTCGAGCGTCGCGGCAACAACGTTGCGAAGCTGTTCGACGCCATCGGCGAGGTTGTGCCAGCGGAGATAGGCAACGATGTGAAAACCGCCAAACAGCAGTGGCAAGATCTACATGATAAGACTGCTAAGAATGCGCATATGTACGAAACGGAAGCTGTAATCTGGTCACAGATCGAGGATGCTAAGAAGGAGCTATTGCCCTGGTTGTCGGAAACCAATCAGGGTTTGTGCGATGCTGCGGACAACTCGATCGAAATCGAGTTTGGACCCATGCGCTTAACCAAGTTCCGCGCCGAGCTACCTTCTTACCAAGTAATGAAAGACACAATCGCTGATAAGAGTCGCGAGCTGGTGAAGATAAATAATGGTGTGGAGATACCCGCACTTACTGAGCTGAATAAACTCTTGACTGCGCAATTCCAAGAAGTAGACTCGAATGCCGCCCGCTTGGAGGCAGTCACGTCTACCTTCAATGAGCAAGAGCAAGATTTGCGTAAGAAAATTAAAAACGCCGGTGAGCAGGTGAACAAGCTGCGTGAGCAACTGATCAAGTGTGATGATATGTCCGGTGAGCCGAACAAAATCATGGAGCGTCTGCTCAAATGCCGTGAGTTGCGCGCCGAGCTGGATAGCAGCGCTAATGAGATTGACAACATCAAGCAGCGTGTTGACGAAATGCGCACCCAATATCCCACATTCAGCGAGTCCATAATACCTAAAGAGTTGAATAATGTGCACAAACGGTTTGAGGCTGTGGACACACATGCTAAGAAAATAGAGGCCTCGCTCTTGCAGTTCCTCAAGAAATTCCACGCCGATAAGGTCGGCATGTTGAAACGCATCATTGCAACACAACGCGAGAAAGTCGCCTGGTGCCAGCCGGAATCGACGAGCGATAAATATAATTTGGATGTGAAGCGTTCCTCACTGTTGGAGGTCAGCAAGGCTATCGATGACTGCCATAAACGCAATGCTGAGATCGGCAAGTCGCTGGAGCTGCTGACAGCTGTTGAATCACCACAAAATCTGAAGGATTTGCAAAATGATGCCGAGCTTTTGAATGCTGAAATGAAGGCGCTGCAAGACAACTTCGACCAAATCAAAAATGTGCTGGACGAAAATGTTGATTTATGGGCGCAATACGAACAATCTAATGAGGAGCTCTCTGCATGGCTGCGTGACGTTGAAGGACGCATCAAAGCCGAAACGAGCAATCAAGTCAATGTACCCGAGATCGAGAAGAAGCTACAAGAGCTTGCGCTGCTCCAACAAGATATACAAGCACATGAGCCGATTGTGAAGAATTTGGAGAAGACCTCGCAGCAACTGATGGAGAAGAATCCGGAAGCGCGCATCAGTCAATTCGTGACACACTTGCTACAGCGCTACCAAACTGTGGCAAAGAGCTTGGCTGGTTACATCGACAAAGTACATAGTGCACAACGTGCGAATAATGATTTCGTGGGCGCCGCTAGGGACTTCAACGACTGGTTGTCCGATGCGAAGATTGAGTTCCAAGAATTGGCGCGCATGGGTTCACCCGGCTCCTCCTCGGCCACTGCACAGCAATTGCAGACCATCAAAAACTACTTGAAGACCTTCGACAATGGTCAGGTCTTGCTGAACAATGCTGTGGACATCGGCGAGGCACTTTACCCAATAGTGACGCCCGAGTATCGTGAGAAGATACGCGCTGAGCTCCGTAACATACGCGAAAACTATGATTACTTGCGTGATGAAGCAAACGCCTTGCTACAGCAAGTCGAGGCGGTGTTGATACAGAAGACCTCCATTGAGGAGAGTTACACACAAGTCTCCCACTATCTCAACGATTCTAAGGCGAAGGTCGCCGCTGCCGATGAACTCTATCCCACGTTGGCCGCCAAGAAAAACGCTCTGCAGAACTACAAGACACAGTTGCAAGAGATCACGCTGCATAAGAATGCGTTGAAACAACTACACGACAAGGCGGTGACACTCTGTGACGATGAATCCGAACGAAAGACCGAAGAGTCCATCGAAGAGTATAACGGTTTGTCCAAGAAGATCGCCGATCGCATTAACGTTGTCGGAAACCAGGTGGTCAAACATGAAGCCTACGATCAAGTGCTTGAGAAAGCGCAAGATTGGCTCAACACCATCAAATCCGAAGCTATCGACATTCTAAATGAGACCACATTCGAAAAGGAGGGCGCCGAGGAGAAGTTGACTGTTGTCGAGAACTTACTGCAACACAAGCCTGAAGGTGACTCAATATTCGATACTTGCCAACAACTACTACAAACCGTGCTCACTCAGACGCATTCTAACGGTCACCCCGCATTACTGCGCAGCTTTGAAGAGCCCAAGAAGGCATGGGATGAGTTTATGACACTCTGCCAAGACTCACTGGTCAAACTCAAGCAGCTCTGCTCTAAATGGGATGAGTTCGAAACGATTATTGACGAGATCGACAACTGGATGAAGGAGGTTGAGAATGTGGTAAAGAACCAGAGCCTGAAAAGCACAGCTGACACGAAGAAGGCGCATTTGGCTCAGTTACAGAAGATTTCCAAGGACATTGACCAACGTGCCGCTTCCATCAACGACCTACTCGATCAAGGCCGCGAGATCGAAGGCGAGACCGATTTGAATTTGAAATTGTCCCGCTTGAATACACGTTATCAGACGTTGAAAAATCTCTGCAAGGAGTCCATTGCAAAGTACGGCAACTACACGAAAGATCACGAAACTTTTGATGCGGATTACGAAATCTTCAAGAAGGATCTACAAGAGTGCATAGCAGATTTGGCGCAAAATAGTGAAATCGTCGGTGATCAAACCGTCTTGCAGGAGCGTCAAAATAAATTGCGAGAAATGGCCGACAAACGCATCAACGACTCTACTATCTTTGAGAGTTTGGTCGATCGCGGCGAAAAGTTGTACGGACACACAAGTCCCGATGGTCGCGAGATTATACGTCAGCAATTGCGCACACTGCGCACAATGTGGGACAACTACTCGGATGATCTGAATACCGCTACACAGAAGATCGATCACTGTCTGCAGCAGTTCAACGATTTCAATATTGCTAAGGATCAACTGACTAAGTGGTTGAAGGACGTGGACAAGGCCATGCAGAGCCATACCGAACCGAAGACTACACTGCAGGAGAAACGTGCACAATTGCAGAATCACAGGTTACTACACCAGGAGATCACCACCCACAATGTGCTGGTGGATAATGTATGTGACAAAGCGCAAGTGCTGATCGACCAGATCAAGGATAACACATTGAATGTCTACCTACAATCGATCAAACAACTTTTCAACAACATTGTGCAAAAGTCTGAGGAGATTCTTAACAACCTTGACGAGTGCGTGCAAGAGCACACGGAGCTCAACAACAAAGTCGCCGCTGCCAAGACCTGGATCTCTAGCGAGAAGGAGAAACTGCTGGAATGTGACGATGCTTATGGTGAAAAGGCAGATATTAAGCGTAAGATCGAGACGCTGGTGCAGTTGTCGCAGAACAAACCGCACGCACAGAAGATCGTCAGTGAGATACGCGAACAATTTGATAAGGTGAAGACCAGCACTTCGCCGAAGGGCAACGAAATACTCGAAAAGGAGATCGATGAGCTTGAGACCACAATCAAGAGTCACTTTGACGATATCGAAGGCATCGAAGGCAAGCAAAAAGATGTGCTCCAGCAATGGAATGACTTTGAGAGCAAACTTGAGGAATTGACCAAGTGGTGTCGTCAGGCCGAAGCAGTCTTCCGCGAACAGCAACTGAAATCAACGCTTCATGAGAAGGTCGAGCAGTTGGAGAAATACAAAATCCAACGCGATCTCATTTTGCAGAAGGAGAAAGAGATTGATGCTTTCGCTGATGCGGCACATGCCTTACTGAACAACTGCGGCGCTGAACGTCTCAAGACGCTCACCATACAAATAACCAACCGTTATCAACTCTTGCAAGTGCTCAGCAAAGAAGTCGTCAACCGCTGGTCGAATCTGGTTGACGATCACCAATTCTATCAGGACAAATACAATGAAGTGGACCTGTGGCTCCAACCCATCGAGCAGCAGCTGGAGAATGCGTTGAAGAATGAGCCATCGCAATCCGCAAATATCTTGCAAGTACTGCTCTCCGAGAAGGAGCAAGCTGATACCTTGTTTAGTGCGCTCAATGCGGCTGGTGAGAAGGCGTTGCCCGAAACCTCAACAGAGGGACGAGAAAAAATACGCAAGGACTTGCGTGAAATACACGAACGCTGGGATAAGCTTGACGAAGGCATACGCAATCTGCAGAAGCGCCAAGAGGCACAGAGTGTGCAACTGTCCAGCTACCAAGATATTCTCGGTCAGACCATCAATTGGTTGGATCAAATTGAGAAGGTGTTGCAAAATGAAAATCCTGCCACCTGGACCAGCGCTCAGGAGATACGTTCAAAGCTCTACAAGTACAAGTCCACCACGCAAGATATCAATTCGCATAAGCGTATTATTGAAGCAGTGAACGAGAAGGCCGCTGTGCTTTTGGAGGGTACAGTGCCCGCCAATGCCGTCGAGATCAGGCAGGCTGTTGAGGATGTCAATAAACGTTATGAGAAGGTGGCCGCCGATTGTGCCACACTACTCGCACAACTCGAGGAGGCTTTCGATGTCTACCAGCAGTTCAGTGAACTTCAGAAGGCTCAACAAGATTACCAGAAGAACCTGTGGGACCGCCTCACAGGCTATTCAGATTACTCTGGCAACAAGCCTGCGCTACAAGCACGCCTTAATAAGATCTGCGAAATTCAAGACGTCTTACCCGAAGGTGTCGTCAAACTACAAAACCTCTCAGCGCATATTGAAGAGAAAGCCAAGTTATTGCCTGCTCGCTCTAAGGAAGCCATGTCACGTGACCTTGGAAATTTGCATGCCGACTTTGACAAATTTAGCGCTGCGCTGAGTGATGTAAAGAGTGGACTCGAGAATCGTCTGCAGCAATGGAGCGATTACGAGGTGAACTTGGATCGTTTGATCACATGGTTGAGCGAGGCTGAGAATGCGCTCAAGAACTACAATCCAAAGTCCACAATGGAAGAGAAGGAAGAGCAATTGAACCGCTTCCAATCGTTGATGCAGAACCTGCGTCAAAATGAAATTGAGTTTGAGAAAATGAAAGACGACTCTTCGGAGCTGATACAGAGCTCGGGCGAAACTAGAATTGCCGTAAATGTACAACAGGTGACTTCACGTTTCCAGTCTATACAAGCGACCACCAAGGAGATACTCAAGAAGTGCGAACAATCTGTGTATGATCACCAACAGTTTAATGAGAAATACAAGCAATGCTCTGACTTCCTCGCCACCGCGCAAGCTAAATATGATGATTCTAGCGATCTCTCGCAGGTCGGTTCTCGCGATGATCTGCTGAGGAAGCAAACTGCCATACAAGAGCTTTTGGCACAACAACCCAATGCCTCGCTGATGCTGAACGGCACTATTGAGGCTGGTGAGAAATGTTACCCATCCACAGCCACCGAAGGTCGTGAGGCCATTCGCGTACAATTGGCCGAGTTGCAAGAAGCTTTCGATAAACTCTATGACAATGTGACAATCACATCACGCAAGCTGCAAGATAAGATGTCCAAATGGTCTGGTTTTGACGAGATTGCCGAGAAATTGCAGTCGTGGTTAAACGAGATTGAAAAGACACTGCCAGCCGATATCGAGCTTAAAACCACGCTTGACGAGAAACGTGCTAAGTTGCAATCCTACCGCGACATACTCAACGATCTCAACAACCATCAAGTTGAGGTGAAAAATCTGCAAGAAATTGCCAGTAATTTGCCCGAGCAAAACGATCACGTTGAGCACATCACGAAAGAGATCGCCGAACAGTTCGCTAAGGTGCACAAACGTGCGCAAAACTTCGTCGAACGTTATGAAGCTATCGTGAGCGATCACCAGCAATATACAAAGGCCGTGCTGGAGGCGCAAGAGTATATTGATGCCACACACAACACCATCGACTATTGGGGCGATTTGGATTTGGAACAAGTCTCTCTGCATACAAACTTGGACCGTTTGAAGAATCTCAAAGACAGTTTGGCAGATGAGTTCCCACGCGTGGATCAAGTGCGCGCTTTAGGCGAAAAGGTTATACCCGGCACCGTTGAGAGTGGCCAGACAAATATCAAATCACAAATCGATACCACACAACAGGAATGGGAAGGACTCATCGCCGCTATTACTTCGACAATCGAAGCTATCGAAAATCGCCTCCAACAATGGGCAGAATATGAGCAATTACGCGATCAGTGTTTGGCTTGGATACGTGAATCGGACAACAAGCTGCACGCCATCGATCTGAAACCAACCCTGGAAGAAAAGAAGTCGCAGTTGGAAGCGCTCAAGAATCTACAGGGCGAGATGCGCGCTAAGGAGCTAGAAATTGATAGTGTTTCTGAGAAGGGTCAGTCATTGCTGAAGGGCGCGTCCACTATGCGTTCATCTGGTCCCGAGTTGACCACGAAGTATCAGCAGATCTTCAATAAAGTCAAAGAACTCAACAATCGTTGGCAACAATATGTCACATCCCATCAGGAGTTCGACAATGCTGTTTCTGAGTGCGGCACCTGGATTAACGACATTAAGGATAAACTTGACTACTGCGCTGATATGTCCTCCATGAGCCAAAAAGAGCTGGATAAGAAGTTGGCTACCATACAAGATATTATCCTACTTAAGGATGAAGGCTCTGCTAAGGTGCTTAGTATTGTTGAGCTGGCGCAGAATGTGCTCGCCAATACCGCGCCAACCGGTCACGAAGCGATCAACAAAAAACTGACAGATCTGCAAGAACTTTGGTCCAACATTGCCTTACGTATTATCGACGTCAAGGCTACATTGGACGACTCCATAACACAATGGTCTGGTTTCTTGGAGCAAGTACAGAATGTTCGCAAATTTAACGAATGGCTGGAGAATGTGCTGAGAGAACTCTCTGAGCACCAGACAACCATGCCTGAGAAACGTGCTCAACTCGATCGCGTGAAGGCGACTGAAGAGAAGGTGCGTGTGGAGAAGATCGATGTGGATGCACTAAAGGTGCAAGCGAAGGAAATGATTGCCAGCGGCCAACAAAGCCAAGCCGCCTACCAAGCGCAAAAAGTGCTCGACACCTTTGATGAACTTTGTGCGCGCATACAGAAACTGCTCTCCGATCGTCACGATCAGTACAGAGATCATCGCCTTTACAAGGAAGCTTACGACGACTTGGTTAGCTGGATAAGTCGTGCACGTGAGAAGTTTCCCGCGCTCAAGCAGAGCAGTCTGAGCGATAAACTGGCGATCGAAAATGCTGTGCAGGCTACCGAGGCTATGCTGAACAAGCAAGCACAAGGTGAACTTTTAGTCGAACATTTAGTGCACACTGGCGAGGTTGTCTTGACCAGCACCTCACCTCAGGGCCAGGAGATCATACGCAATGACATACGTGCACTACGCGACAGTTTCGAGTCGCTTTTCCGTGAGATCAATCAACAGAAAGAGAGCTTGGAGGAAACCATGGTTCAGTGGCGTGCCTACAAAGATGAGTATGAGCGTTTGATCGAGTGGCTGCAGCAAATCGATATACTGGTTAAGAATCATAAATTGAATTTGTCGCCGAGCTTACCGGATAAAGAGAAACAGGCTGTGGATATGCGTGAGGTCATGACGCGCTTGGAGAAGGGCAAAGACGACATTGATAAGTTCAACGCCTCCTCCGCCGGCTTGCTGAAGTCGCATTTGGAATCGTATGTGAATAATCAGTTGAGACACTTGAATTCCATGTATCAAGTGCAGGTGAATCTCGCTAAGGACGTACTCAAGAAGGTTGAGACCAATCGGGATCAACATCGTGAGTATAATGCGAACTTGAAGGCGGCACAAGATTGGATCAACGACGCCAAGGAAGCTATACGTGAAGCTAGTGACTCATCAAGCGCAGGCTCTAAGGAGCTTTTGCAGAGACGCCTCGAAAAGATACAGCAATTGATCAACAACCGCGAGATCGGCCAGAACTTGGTGCACACAGCGATTAACAACGGTGAGAAGGTTGTGAGAAACACACGTTCCGATGGCCGTGACACGATTAATTGTGAAATGCGCGATCTACAAAATGACTGGGATCGTTTGGTTAAGAAAATGTCTACTGCCAAGGTACAACTGGAGACTAATCTACTACAATGGGCGGACTACAGTTCGAGTTATTCACAACTACAACAATGGATGACCGACCGCGAAGCGAAGTTGCAACAGGCGTGTGAGCAGAAGGTTGCCAAATCGAAACGCGGTCAACCGGGACTCACTTCCGGCTTGAGTGAACGCAAAGCTAATCTCCGTCAAACAAATAATATTGTACAGGATATTGTGTCATTCGAGCCAATGATTCAATCTGTAGCTTCAAAGGCCTCTGATCTGCAACAGGGCGCACCAGCTTCAGAGATATCCAACAAATATGAGACACTAACCAAACAGGCGAAGGACTTGTATGACAAACAAAAGACTACTATCGACGAATTCCAAGCTTTGATTGATGCTGGTAATGAATTCGCCGCCTGGCTACGTAATGCCAAGGAGCGTTTGAGCAAATGCTCGGAGCCGACTGGTGATAAACAAGCTTTAGCTGAGAAGACCCACCAATTGAAAATCCTGCAAAGTGACGTGCCTGAAGGTAGAAAGAAATTGGAACTTGTGTTGACGCGTGGTGAAAACGCCAGCCACATCGGCGAACAGGAAGACAAGGATATTATTGAAGAAGAGGTTGGCTTGCTACAAGAAGAATTTGAGGCCTACGTGGAGACTCTGACCAAAGCCAAGGATAATTTGGAAGTTGGCATTGTGAAGTGGTCCGACTACCAAGACCAATACACTGAAGCATTGGAATGGCTTTCGAAAACCGAAGCGCTCGTTCAGTCGTACAATAAATTACAAGATAGTTTGGGTCATAAGAAGGCGGTGTTGGAAGAGTTCCAAGGCCTTCTGCAGACACTCTTCGAATGGCAGAAAACTTTGGATAATTTGAATATGAAGGCACAAACACTGCTCGAAACCTGCTCGGACACACGCATCAGTAACGGCATCATGCAGTTGGCTACCAAATATAACACGTTACTCACGCTGGCCAAGGAAGTGATGCGTCGCCTTGAGTTACACTACCAGGAGCATCAACAACATCGCACGCTGTACGAGGAATGTCAAGGCTGGATCGAGGCGACACGTGAGAAGCTTACAGATTGCGCCCAAATACCCGGTACCTTGAATGAGGTGCAAATCAAATTGAACACCGTGAAGAACTTGCGTCAAGGGTTCGAGTCGGGTCAAAATAAATTGCGTTATCTACTTGAGTTGAAAGAAAAGGTGGCTATGAATACCGAACAAAGTGGCGCCATCAAGGTGCAGGAAGACACCGACGCATTGAAACAAGATTTCGACAAGTTGCTCGAGGATATGAACGACGTGCGCCAGCAATTGGCGAACCGACTCACACAGCTGGAAGAAGTTTATAAATTGCTTAAATTACTGACCGAGTGGCTTGAAGATGTCGAGCCGAGCGTCAAAACGAGCGATGAGTTCTTGAACGATTTGAGTGAAAAACGCGCCGCTTTGGAGAAATTCCGCGCCATACAACGTGACATCAACGGCCATAATGACATAGTCGAGAAGATCAATACACGTCTGAATGAAGACAACAGTCTCGATCGCCAAGACTTCCACGACGGACTCAGCAAATATGAGCACCTACAAGAGTCTGTCGGCAAAATCATTGAGTCTCTCGAGAACCAAGTCAATAACCATGACAAATATAAGCAAGCCTTCAACGAGATACAAGATTGGCTGCGACGCACACGCATCGAGATCGAACAATGTGCGGATTGTCACGGTGAGAAGACACAGGTAGAAGAGCGTCTCAATAAATTGGGCGATATTGGCGCCACCATGGTGGAGGGCAAATCGCTGTTGGACGCTTGCGAGGAACTAAGTCAAGCGGTGATTGCGACAAGCGGCAATGAAGGTCAAGACACGGTCTCACAGGAAATTAAACAGCTCGTAGCCGAATGGGAAGCGCTCCAAGCTATGGTGCGTGATGCACGTGCCAATTTAGAGACGTGCCTCTCATTGTGGAACACATTCCTGACAAACTTCATTAAGATCAATAAATGGATTGAAGATGTGAGCCGACGTGTGGCTACCGCTGGCGAAGCCGAAAATAAAACACCCGACGACTTGGCATACGCCAAGGTAAGTTCATTCACTCTCTCTCACTCTCAGTCTCTCACTCAGCATTTATTAACCCTAAAGCCAAGGCTGTGTACTAACTGCACTTGAGTAAACTAATCAGCTAACCCACTTGCGTTCAGTCATCTTAGATTCACACTTAAACCATAAACCAGTTGCGTCTCACTCTCCACAATACAGTGTACAAAACAAAATGCTTTTCACATTTGTATGAAAAAAAGAGTACTAACTTTGTCTGAAATATTATAATTTTTGTAAAAAGTGTAACACTAATTAACCCACGAAAATTCTTTATGTTAAATGATTCTTTTCATCGAATGTAGAACTTGCTGGAGGAGGTTGTTGCCGAAAAGGATAACGTCGAAGATTTGAACGACGCTTGTGAGCTGCTAATGGAACACAGCGCTTGCACGCGAGTACGTGATCAGACCGTGGAAACGCAAGCAAACTACACCAAACTCTTGACTTTGGCACAAGGTGAGTTGTCTTCTTTAAGTATGAAACTTTGAAAGTAATCTCTTTGAACTCTCCTTAAAGGTCTCGTTTCCAAGATCGAAAAGAATCTCTCCGATCACACCGAGTTCTTGAATTACAAGAAGGAAATGGATGCTTGGATTGAGAAAGCGCAGCAGATACTCGATGGTTGCACTGGCGACGGTGATGTGAGCGAGATCGCACAGCAATTGGAGACCGTAAATGTAAGTTTCCGGCAAGCGCGTGCAGGATTTTTCAGTTGCAGGTGTTAACAGGGTTTAAAAGCTCATTCAATATGATTTGAGAATTACCTAAAAGACATTTATAAACAAAATTCAAAGGTATACGCTGAGACTTCGAGATTTTCTGAAGTTTGCCTGTCAAATGTAGAACCTGAAAAAAGTGCATTTAAGACAGTTGCTCATAGGTTTCTCGTATACAAATGACATTTTTTTTAGTTTTACGTAAAAACCTCAACTTTGTATCTGCTTTCTCTCCCACAGTCTCTCTCCTCACGTCTGCCCGAAGGCCAACATCTACTCGGCATGGTACAGGAGGCCTACACCAAAGCATCGAACATCACACCCGAAGGTAAACAGGAGGTATTACGTGAACTCATGACTAAAGTGCGTGAGGATTGGGATGCCTTGGGTCTGGCCGTTAAACAGAAGTTGAGCGACTTGAAGCAAGCACAAAATCGTTGGTCCGACTTCGCCAACAATCGTGACAAAGTCGAGAAATGGCTTGTTGACACTGAGAATACACTCAAAGTTGCACCCGACACTAAGGGTGAGCTGAGTGAAATGAAGACACTGCTCGAACGCTACAAAGCACTGCAAAATGAAATCAAACAAAAGGGTAATGAAATTGAGAATTTACTCGGCGAAGCTAAGGGTTTGGGCACCGAAGTGGATGCGGTACATCAGAAGCAAACACGTTGGGAGAAAGTAAAGAACGATTGTGCTGCTTACATTAAGAGTTTGGAGAATGAAATGGCCGATTATAATGCATATCATCAGAGTCTGCAGGATATTGAAAAGTGGTTGTTGCAAATTTCATTCCAATTGATGGCACACAATTCACTCTTCATTTCGAATCGTCAGCAAACTGAGGAGCAGATTAAACAGCACGAAGCTCTGTTGGATGAAATACAGAAATATCAATCGAACTTGGATGATTTGAATGCTAAGGGTCAGGCGCAAATTAATCGCTATGCCCCAACAACGCCAGCCATACGAGACACGGTCGAGGCGCAGTTGAAGAACATACAAGACAGTTACAATTCGCTGCTGCAGACCTCGGTGCAGATAAAGAACCGATTGCATGAGTCATTGGCTAAGTTCAAGGAGTACGAGGACACTTTGGACAGTATAATGCGCAATTTGGAGACCTACGAACCGGTTATACAGAATGAGCTTGATGCGCCGGCTACCAGCTTGCAGATTGCACAACAGCAATTGAAGTGTGCACAGGTAAGTGGGAGGAAAATTTTAATTTTTGCTTTCGCACTAACTTTTCGCTCTTATAATTTTTCATTTATTAGGTTTTTGAAAAAGAAAATCTGAATTTGGGTTTGAAGTTTTTCTTTTGAATAAATAATTTGACCGGGAACTTCGGTCGAGAAGAATTTTCAAAATGACTTTTTGGTCGATAACTCTGAAAATTTTGAATCTAAGAATCTAGGGTCATCCTTATAACTGATATTTCAAAAATGCTATTTGAGGTTATAATACTTGTGTCTCGAATTGAGCTGGCAGGATGAGAATATTTGCAGTTTGCCATACTTTTCACAGTAAAATAGTTCATCGTGAAAATATTATTAATATCGGTTTACAAAAAGACGTAATCATCAAGTAATTGACTGTTAAAAAATTATATTTATGGTTTAAAGTCCAATAAATACTTAGATGGGAATAAAAGATTTGGTTTTAAGAGTGCAAAACCATTGAAATTAGAATTTTCTATTTTGTGGTACCCATACATATAATTTTTCAAAAACAAGTTTTTAGGTTTTAACTTTATAGTTTTAGTGGCTAGGAGCGAGAAATTCAATATTTTTCTTATCCAATGCTTTAAACGCTGACAGTGACAAATCCCCCACGGTTAGTTTGCAATAACATCCTTGGAAAATATGTATTACACGTAAATATCTGTTCAAAAATTAAATTTTAGGTTATAAGTCCCTAAAATAATTAGCTAGCATTATGAGATTTGGTATTAAACATGTCTATCATGTAAAGGTCTTTGATAGGGAAAACCATTGAAATTAGAATTTTCTAATTTGTGGTACCCATACAAATAATTTTTCAAAAACGAGTTTTGAGGTTATAACTCTGAAAATAAAGTAGCTAGAAACTTGAAATTTGGTATGCTCTTTCCGTAGCCTTAAAATTTGATTTATATAAATTAAAAATAATGAAAACTGGCTTACCATAAAATATGTCTTCCATATAACTGGTTGTGCAGATATACAATTTTGAATAGATACTTCTTTCGAAAAACGAAAAATTACTACTTTTGATATCTAAAAATAAATTGTCTTAATTTTTGAAAACATTAAAATTATTTCAATTGTTATAAGTATATTTATATTTTTTTAAATAATTATTAATTATTGTCCTATCATCCACACAGGATCTCCAAAACAAGCTGAACAACGAGAAGTCTCGCCTTGCTGCTGCCGTACAGGCTTGTGAAGCGGCAACCGCCTCCATCAGTCGTCCCAGTTCACCGCTAGAGACCGCTATGCAAGCCATACCCGAACGTGAGCTAATTGTGCGCGCAAAATTGGAGGATTTGCTGGATCAGGTAAGTGTTGGGCCAATATATTGGGGGACAACTTTTAAGAGAAAACAAAAAAAAAATTAATAAACCCTGTAATAGCTAGTTAGAACGCCTAAATAAGACCAGTCTTTGTGTAAAGCAATAAATTATTATATTAACACAATAGAGAGGTAACACAAATATGCTAATGCATACATTTTTAGAAAATTTTTATTCAACTAATTTTTTATTTCAATTTCGTTTAATTTTTTATCTAACCATAACAACAAATTTTTGTATTTTGTTTTTGCAAAAATTTAACCAATTTCCTGTAATACGCTGCACTCACACTACAACATGCACACTGCTATTTATCAACCAAAAACGAAAACCAAAAATCAAAAATCAAAAAAAAAAATCCTTCCCGCTCATATGCTTAACCTCAACTTTTGACAAATCCTTCAAATATAACCTCAAATTACACCAAAAATCAATTCCACAAAGATGCCGAGCAACCAAATGCCGAGCTCAAGCAACATCGTCGCTAAAGCCGATGTCGATGTTGAACTAAACGAGTCCACGAGAGATGCTCTGTTGCGTGATCCAGTTGCTCAGGAGCGTACGAATACGAAAATTGTACGCGCCAATAGTGAGCGTGTAACTAAGCTTAATGCACTAATAACTAAGGTAAGTCGCCGCCGTTAACGAATCCAACGAATTTACGCTCAAAACAAACGCTTTTAAAATAGTAATGCTTCTTCTTATGCTTGAGTTTTGTACTAACTTTACCAATTAACCTACTCTTTCGGCCAGTGAAACAAAATTTTCGCTCAAAATTCCTACAAAAAATCTATTCTAACACAAATATACTAATGTACATACATAAACATTACATCGATAAGGTCTATTGGGCAAAATTACACACATAAGGTACTGGGGTTCATCATGTCTGCTCGATTGTTACTGCGGAATTTGCCCAAACTCTAATAATTTACTTCTTCCATCCGTCTCTAGGTACAATCCCACTTGGGTGGATTGACCGCTTCAGTGAGTGAATTAGAGCAACAGCAGAAACAGCGCGCTGAGCTTCAAGATTGGGTGAAGAAACAGCAGACTAGTGTCAGTGATTGGCTAACACGGCCATGCAAGCTACGACCCGAAGCAGCTAAGCAGGAGTTGGTTGCCATGAACGACTTATTGAACTCGATTGGTGATAAGCGTTCACAGCTGATGTTGGAAATGACTGGATCGTGTAAGTATTTGACTCTTCGTCTTACAGTTCTACTGCTCAACTTGAATAAATTGGGGACCTTCTCATTGATTGGGGTAAGACTTCCTCTCTCAAGAGCATAAATAAACTGAATTGACGTCCGATTCGACCGATCAAATGAAAGAATACGCGAAAAAGTGTAGATCTAGGTGATTAACCGAATTTTTACTGTGTAAGCGAGAGTATTTCGATGAATATAGCAGACAGAAAGTTTTCTTCCCAAGATAAGCCTCACAATGAGGTAAGGACTTGGAAGCGAAGGGACGGAACTTCAATTCATTTTTTTCGTAATTCTTTAAAGTCGATTGAGACTCTCACTGGTTCTAATACTTAGTCTTTAACGATAATTCTGAATTACTTATAAACTCCATACATTTCAATTTATACTCTAATTCTTCTACGAATTGACATTCTTTTACCTCTTTCCTGCTTTTAGTGGCCGATGAGGACACCGATCTCGACGATAACCTTGACAAACTCGAGTCAGAATTGATGAATGCTATCGCCAAGAAACAAGCTGGACAGAATGATATCGACAGCTATCGTCAGGGCGTACAAGATGTACAAAACTGGTTTGATTCCTTAATCAAGCGTATGGATGTTTTGGATAAGGGCTCCGGTTTGAATTGTGCACAAAAAGTGGCTGCCATCAATGAGATTAGGAAAGAGTTCGAAGAACAAGGTCCCAGCAAAATACAAGAGCTAAAGGGTAAGGCGGCACAAGTGGCTGAGGCCATTAGCAATTTGGATGGCCAACAGGTGGAAGAGCAAATGAAATCTTTGGATCGTCGTCATGCTGATCTCGGCAAGCGTATCGATCGTAAGGCGCAATTGCTTGATGTTACCAATAAGGGTGTTGAAGGTGCTAAGGGTGAAATTGAACAGTTGCACAATTGGGTTAAGGATAAAATACAAGAGTTGCAAAAACCCACTGCCATGGGTTATGAGCCCAAGGCAGCTGAGGCGCGCCAACAGGCTATTAAGGGTATTATGAAGGAGGCCGAAGCAAAGAAGTCGCAAGCTGATGCTTTGGAGAAACGCATCGCCAATATGCAGCCCGAACTCGAACCTGTTGAGTATGCACAACTGGAATCAGCGCTGCGCCAACTGAACTCTGAACAAAAGAATCTCTCTGAAGTGCTGAAGAGCGAATTGGATCGTGCTCTGGATGCATCCAAAGCACGCAAAGCACTCGAGACAGATTTGGAGAAGGCGCGCGCGTGGCTGAAATCGAAGATTGCTGAGGTGCGCAAACTCCCCGCCTACCATCCACTGCAGTCAGCTGAAATTGAGAAAAAAATACAGGAGAACAAAAAGTACGACGATGAAGCGAAACAATTTAATGATTCTGTATTGAGTGATGTGCAACGCCAGGCAGCGAATATCATGAAGGACTGCCCAGAGGCAGATAGAGCAGCTCTGCAGAAGATACTAGATGAAATTGCAGGCGACTATCAAACGCTGAAGGATGAAAGCGGTAAACGCGCCAAGGCACTAGGTGATCTTCTACAAGGACGTAAGTCCTTTGAGGATGCCCTGAAGAACATGGGCGATTGGTTGAACGAGATAGAGACCGCAACCTCGGGCGAGCTGCGTACAACCAGTGTGCCAGTTTTGGAAGAACAAATGGCCCACTACAAGAAATTGCTGGAAGATGCTGAAGGTAAAGCTGACCTGATGAACAACGTTGCTGAGCAAGGAAAAGGCATATTGCCCACTCTCAGTAATCCTGACAAATTGAAACTCAATGAGGATATCAAGAACCTGAAGGACCGTTACGGTAAAGTCACGCAAAACATCAAAGACCGCGTCAACACACTTGCTGATCACATCAAGAAATACAAGGACGCCAAGAGCAAGCTCGCTGACTGCATGGAGTTCCTCAGCACAATACAACAACGTTTGCGCGAGCTTAACAAACCCATCGGCGCAAAAATCGAGGACGTGCAAGATCTGCTGGGCGCCTATGAGGGTATACTTAAGGAGCTCAAGGATAGCAAGAACAAGATGGGCGATATGCAAATTGATGACTTGCCTGAACTGCAGAGCATCTTGCAGCAACAGGATGATATGATCAAATTGATTGAAGATCAATTGGCTCACCTGCGTCAATTGTTGTTGCTGCGCGAGCAATTCATTGCTCTCATCAACGAGATTATCGCCTTCATCATGAAGTACACCGATGTCATAATCGATATTGAAAACTCGCCCGACAGTTTGGAAGATAAGATAAACAAGTACGACAACGTTATCGTCAAGATTCAAGAATGTGAGGGTCTTCTTGCATCGGCGACCGATAAGGGTCAAAAAATTGCCTCAGAGGGCACAGCTGCTGACAAGAACAGCATCACTGAACAATTGCAATCACTGAAGAACCAACTGCAAAACCTACGTAAAGCAGTTGAGTCCCAACGACAGAAACATCAAGTGCAACTTGAACACCATCGTAAAATGGCTGCCGAGCTCTCTGAAATACTCGATTGGCTACATAACAATGAAGCTGCCGCCAAGTCTCGTCCGCTTTTGGATCGTGATCCCGAATCTGTTGAACACGAGATACAAAAACATCACACGTTATCTAACGAAATCCAAGAATATCTCGACAAATTCAACAAAATCAACGCCAGCGTTAAATCGGAAGTTGGCATGCCAAGCTCTTTAGTCGAAATGCTGTCCGAAGGCCGTTCCTTGGTCTCTTCACTGCCACAAGAACTTGAAGATCGCGAAAAGTATTTGATCAACAATCGCGACTCACGTCTTGAATATATGCAATTAGTATCCAAATTCAATGATTGGGTACATGAGGCTGAGACGCGTCTGCAGAACAGCCAACATGGCATCGACTATGAAAATCTTGTACAAGACTTGGAGGAGCATAAAATATTCTTCGGCAATGAAACACCCATCAAGAATTTGGTACACAAGCAGATACAAGAAGCCGCCGATAAGATTTGGCCATCATTGAGCAATTTTGAACAGTCGGAGTTGTCGCGAGAACTGGCACAATATCAAACTAAATTGGCGAACACCTTCGCCGTGGCGAAATCACAGCAAAGCGAGCTAGAGAAGGAAGTCGAGCGATGGCGTGAATACCAACAGTCGGTGGAACGCGTTAAGGCGACCATCGAACGTAGCAAGTTCAGCGATGAGCCCGTGCAGAATTTGGCTGGCCTACACTTTAACATACAAAAGTTGACGCATGCCATCGGCAATGTGCAGGTGAGTGAAGAGAAAATTTGTATTAATTATTTTATTATCTTATACAACTTTATCATCTCATACTTTATTTTAGGATTTTTTTTCTTATTAGTTGAATTTAGTTTTTTTTTCATTTGCTTTATTTAATTTTTTCAAATTTATATTTTTTTATTTTGTTATATTATATTTTATTATATTTATTTTATTTGACTTATTTTATTTTATTTAATTTAATTTAATTTGACTTATTTTATTTTATTTTATTTAATTTAATTTAATTTAATTTATTTCAATTTAATTTAATTTAATTTAATTTAATTTAATTTAATTTTATTTTATTTTATTTTATTTTATTTATTTATTTTATTTTATTTTATTTTATTTTATTTTACTTATTTTATTTTATTTTATTTTATTTTTTTACTTTATTTGATTTTGTGTTATTTTATCTTGTTTTGTATTACTTTTTATTTTGTTTTCTATATTTTATTTTAATTTTTATTTGATTTTATTTGTATATATTTATATTTCTAATCTTTATATTTAATTCTTTTCTAATTATTTTATTTTTTATATTTTATTTTATTGTGTTGTAAATTATTCAAATTAATTAATTTTTTTCAATATATTTATTGTTTTATTTAATTAAACAGAATTTTACTTTGTATTATTTTATATTGTTTTATTTTATTTTGTTTGATTTTAAATATTCTTTTTTTATTATCTTAGTTTATGTTACTTTATCTTTTGTTGGCTTAGTTTTTTTTAATTTATTATATATTATTAATATTTATTTTATTTGATTTTTTGTTTCTTATTAATACTCTTTTCTTTATATTTATTTGTTTTCATATTTCTTAAATTTTTTATTTTATTTTATTGTAAATTATTCAAGTTAATTTAATGTTTTTAAATATATTTATGTTTTCATTGAATCAAACTGAGTTTTATTTTTTATAAGTTTAATTTGATTATATATTGTTTTATGATTTTTTATTAGACTTTTTATGCTTTGAAATTTATTAAATTATTTGATTTTTTTATTTAATTAAAAAAAATTAATTTAATTTTATTTTTTTTAATAATAATATATACAATATTTTTTTAATTTATTAAATTGAATTTTATTTTATATTGGTTATATTTGTATTATTTTATTTTAATGTATTTAGTTTCTTATTTTATATTTATTTCTTATATCTTATCTAATTTATTTTGTATTATCATTTTATATTCATTTATTTAATTTGTTTCTTTTAATTTTAATTAATTAATTTTTTTCTTAAAATTTTGTTTTTCATATTATTTAACTTTTATATATTAGTTTTTTGAAAATTTTTTTTATTGCATAATTTATTATTAATATTTATTTTAATTTTATATTATTTGATATAATAAATTTTTTTATTTATTTTATTTCATTTTGTTTTACTTTATGTTATATTATTTTATTTTTATGATTTTTTCTAATTTATATTGTTTTATTTTGTTTTACTGTATTTTATTTTATTTTATGGTGTATTATTTTTTTAATTTTGCTTATTATTTTATTTTATCTCATTTTATTTTATTATGTTTTATAAAAATTTGGTTATTTTTCGTATATGTTTTTATATATAAGTAGTATATTAGTATTGTTTATTCTGCTCCGACACACCGTATCATTCGCGTGCAGCAAATACTATCCCGCATTGAGCATATTTCTTTGTCTGGTCTTTTCATTCCGGTTCGATTTGTGTGCCTTTCGTTTATTATTATTTTGCTCAATTGACTGCCGGCCGGCAAAAGTTGTTAAGAAAGTTGTTCGGTACGTTTTGTTGCGTTCGCCATTTACGCAGCGCTGCCAGCAAGCACCACACCCATGGTAACAGGTCAGGATGCAACATAGGCACATGCTATGGCAATGTACATATGCAAAAAAAATGGCGAGAGAGGCAAACTGGACTTAAGGCCGGCATGCTCAGATGGTCTTCATAGGAAAAAAGTAGAAGAATAAAGTAGAATGAATAAAAAGAAATATAAATAAAAAATATTCGCAAAAAGCACGCGAGTGGATCAAAAACACAGCTTATATGGTACGAAGAGAGCGCGGAAAACATATGTCGTCGAAGCTAGCTGCAGTGCCAAACTACAAAGTTTATTTGTGTGTATGTTTATATAATCAAATATAGATAAGTGTGCTTGATGGCATGACATCATCATCATTATAAACGCCATAAACAAACGTGCTGCTCTTAACGACAACTACACTAACAAATATGGTTAAAGCTTAGCTCTCTTAAAATATTCTCACGTGCGCGCTCTAGTAGACCTTCGGACAACTGAGCGGCACCTGAGCACTTGCGTAGAGAGTTTTTGGTCGGTTGTTTGAACAAAAAAAAAAAGAAGGAAAAAAAAGTTGGAGAACTTGAGAGCTCCATATTATTTATAGATTGTATCGAGCTTACGAGCAGTTCTTTTTTTCACAATATTACTCTCTTCGGCGCTCTTGAAAACTACTGGAATTTATGGCAAGCATGCCAACTGAGTTCCTAGCCAACTTCATTAAACGTTGGCATGTGGTTGCTTTACATTTGCTACCGCTCAACGAGTCAGCTGTTTCTCTGTTGCTCATTTAACTTCATTTCCTTCTGCTATTTTGTTTTTGTTTTCATTTTTACCTCACATTTTGTGGTTTCACTTCGACTATTGGCCGTTTTGCTTTCCATCAGCTGCAAGCAATAAAATTATCACCGGCGTTTTGTTGGTTCAGTGTGTGTTTTGGCTTTTTGATGAGAGAGCTACACATGGCAGTGTACACACACTTGTACATATATTTACTTGAGTGTTTTTTTTTCTTAGTTATTCTTGTCTATCATAATTAAGTCTGTTCCCATGTGTAGCACATGGTTTTTAGTTCGATTGTACTTAAAAAAAGTTACTTACAGCCAAGCTGAAAGCTCTGCTGCGTCATCAAATAATCTCTTGTTGGTACATTAACGGTGTTTAAGCCTTAATTATTAACTTTTACCATATTAAGTTAAAAGGCCGTTTGATTTCTTCCGTCTTCTCTGGTTTTTTTTACTTGTTTTCTATTTTTCTGTATATAAATATATTTTCTTTTGATTGCATTCTAGTTTTCGGGAAACATGTTTTCTCTGGTAAGCTGCATTTAGTCTCATTAAATGCGCTTTTTTTAATTTTTGAAATGATTTAGCAAAATTAAGGTCATTGACGTTCAATTTTAGTGTGTGGAATGAAAGTTAAGCTGTTGCTGTAGCTACTGCAAGTGAAGTAGAGAATCACGCCTTTCTGTCAAATTTCGCTTCACAGCAATACAGGATTATAGTATGCTGTATTCTGCTTCTTCATTGGTAACGCTAATGTAACGAATCAAATGAAGACAAGTCGCTCTTACTCTGATGCCTTCAACGGAGTAGAGGACTTTCTATTGCTCTGCTTTCACCACCAGGTATTGGTTCGAGGAATTTCATCGCTGGAGCCACTGACTCTCGATTTCGTCGTATGTCTCGTAGAGCGCGTCGTCCTATCGCTTTTTATATTCACCGCTACTAATACGCATACATAGTCCACCCATCATATCATATCTAGCCAACTAACATCATTTGCTAAAGTGAGAACTCGAACCCCGCTTGGTTGAACCTAGGGTTTCTTTCAAAAGGTGGGACCTACAGTTTTACTAAGCCGCCTAATTTTTTTATGAGAGAGTCTGAAAGGGGAACGTTTATTTTCTTTTCTGGTGCTAAGAAGAAGTTAATGTTTAATTCTAAAACAAATTCCGGGCCGGTTAACATTTTCCGGCCGACTGGCGTTAGACCTTACGAAGGCACCGATTAGGAATCTTATTAGATTACGCTCAGTGCTCATTAAAGGTACTGTCTGAGCAGGAAGAGAGCAAGACGAAGTCATTGCAATAGTTTCTACTCTCATATCTTGCTTTGATGCCCTAACTATCCACAGAAAACCTCAGGCTGCAGTCGCATTGATCGCTGAAAGTTGCATAGGACAAGGAGAAACCATCTAAGCAGTTTGTTCCTAATTCTTGTCTTCTAGGTCCTCCGCATTTTTCATCTTCTTCTGAATAAGTCTTGAGTTTAGAATATTTTTATCCACTTATGTGATCCGTTGATGAGCAATATCGTCATTTCATTTCATAGCCTCAATACCGAACATTTCAGCACACTTCCTTTAATTACTTTTGTTGGTTTGTCCACCTTGCCGAACTTCGTTCTCCAAACTTGCAATTGACTTCGTAGGCTTCGTTTGCTGTATTCGTCTATCGCGAACGTATTTCTTGTGAGCGTGTTTTTTTTTTGCGTTTACCACTTGCACTCTTCCACCTTGTCTGGCAGTGAGCAGTGCCGGTATTTATGGTCTGTTTTATTACATTCTACACAATTCTTTGTTTTTGTTTTGCTACGAGTATCAACGTTTAATGTTGATAGGTCTCGGTGTGCTCTTTGTGACGGCGGCTTATGGGCTTGCTCTCTGTGCGCTGTACACATGCATATATATAATATATGAGTCGAATATATGAACTCATTATTCCAACCTTTATTACTTTTATTATGTCGGCTTTTTGGCCACACTAACACATGAATATGTATGTTGTATTCGCTTGTAAGCAAAAAGTATCTCAGCTCAATATCGCTCACTGAAATATGAATACCAAAACTATACAAATACCGACTTACATATTGTACACACATATGTATGTACATTACCGGCTCGCCCGCAGTAAATCGACATCCGCATCTCGGAGCTGCAAGTTTTAGCGAGTTTTTGAGCGTGCTATGAAATCATTTCCAGTTGAGACTTCGACGGTAACGAGTGTGTAAAATTTTCGTATGCGCAAAGTGAAGCAAAGTATATAATATTTATTTCTGTGTCGTCATCAACACGGTACGGGAAGAAAAAAAAAGAATACGCACAAAGAACGGAAAATAAAGCAGAAAAAACAAGTACACACAGTGGAAACAATTTTATTTTCACGTCAAAGCTGGAATTAAGTCAGCAGAAAATTATTGTGCAAATGAAAAAGAGCAGTAAACTATCAAAAGAAATTTTGAAAAACCGTGAATATAAGCGAAAAGCTATAAAAAAAAACTTTTTTTTTTGAGAAAGCACGTCGTCACCAACGTCTTTTTTTCGTAAGCTGTCGCCGCGTTGGCCGTCATAATTACACACATACACACAATATTAGCTACACAGCTGTGTGTAAGCGCACACCTTATTTTACATGAAATATTGTACTAAATCATTACAGCAACAGCAGTGAAACGTGTGAAGTGTTTGTTAAAAGAAAAAAAATTACAATTAAAAAACTGTGTAGTCATTTCTTTTGGAAATTGTGAAATATTGCAAAAGAGCCACGAGCTCGTCACTGCACTAAATAGAAAAATCAATTGCGGTCTTTAAGGCAGTCAAATTCGATTTTGAGGTGAGCCAGTGTCGCCATTGTGCTTTTAAGTTTTTTTTTTAGTATTTTCGTTGTTTGAATTTTTGCTAAAAATTCGATTTGTAATTTTTGCAAAAATTCTACAACTGCCTACCGGAAAGATTTTCGCCTACAAATATGCAACACATCCTTCGGCGAAAATTCCTCTTACGTTGATTATGAAGTTTGCGTGGCACACAATGCCGAATTGAGCCGAAGCGTGTTTGCCCACACATTTTTCTTATTGGCCTGTCATGCACGCATTGTTACCATTTGAAGAGGCGACTCAAGTGCTAACGTGTTTTAAGTAGAATAATAATTAAAAGAAAATTATAATACCAAAGGTATGAAAAATCACTATAAAATTAAAAAAATAATAATAAGGAAATAAATAGAAATTTCTAAACGCAACAAAAACAAACAAACATACATATATTAAATACAAGAAAAAAAAATTGAATAAAATAAAAATTTAACAAAATAAAATGCCATCAAAGAAAAATAAAATAGCTTAAAATTAAAAATACAATATTGAAATCAAATCAAATAAATAAAATAAGTTAAAAATAATAAATAACAAAATTGAAATAAACAATACCAATTAAAAACATTAAATAACAAATTAAAATATGAAATAATTTAAACTAAATAAAAAAAATGATATTAAATAAAATAAAATAAAATGATATTAAATAAAATAAAATAAAATGATATAAAATAAAATAAAATAAAATAAAATAAAATAAAATAAAATAAAATAAATTAAAATAAAATAAAATAAAATAAAATAAAATAAAATAAATGAAAGAAAGTGAATTAAATTAAAAAAAAGTAAATAAAATAAAATAACACAAAATAAACTAAAACTAAAATAATTTAAACTAAATTTTTAAGATAAATAAATTAATTTAGAAGCAATTAAGTAAACAAGATAAAATAAAGCCAAATGAATTTAATTTAAATTAGTGATTAACATAAGTTAGTACAAAAGTTTTATTTTTCGTTACCTTCTGCACAAGTATTTTATTTAATTAATTTAATATTTATTTTATTATTTCATCTTATTTATTTATTGTGTTTCATATAAATATACGAAAATATATTAATTATTGCAAATTAGTTTCTACGAATTACATAGTTTTTCAAATAATTTCGCCTACGATAAATATACATACAATATGTTGTATTTTCGTCTTTTTTCTTTAATTCTTTTATCTCTCTCACCATTCAACAACCACCAACTATAAACACACTTTACACACGTAGAGCCAAACAAGTGACATCACACTTGCCAATCAACAAGCCCAGGGTCTTATACGTCAAGCCGATGCACGCAATCGTCAGCTGATTGAACAGGATAACGCCGAATTGAATCGTTTGTGGAACGAATTAATTAAGGGACTTGAAACACGTCGTGATTCATTACAAAGTATTGCCGAACGTTGGGACGAATTTGAGAATCATTTACATAGCTGGGAGAAGGCAATTAGCCGTTTGGAAGATAAATTCCGCAATGTCGACCCAGTAGTTAGGTCGAGACGTCATTTGGAAGATACAAAGAATGCCATCCAGGTGAGTGATTATTTCTATATACTTAATTCTTAAAAGAGTTTGTTAAATTATTTTAAATATATTTAGGGAGTATGATTAGATTTCGGTTTTCTAGCGTTAGATAAAAAAGAAATTACTTGGCTATATGATATTTGATGTTTGATGTTTACGACACACAAGTCTATAAAAATCTACTTTATTAATAATTTTAGCGCCATATACAGGAATAATTTTCACCTAAACTTGTGAGATGCGAAAGTAGGCTTTGAAAATTTCACAAATATTAATATTTTGTTGACATGTTTTTCAAAAGTTGAAACTATTTTTGAGCCATATGAACTGATCTACATAAATAGCAAGCGATTATCACTAATAATAATTTCTTTTAAATTTTCACACCTGTCTTAATAAAAAAAAAAAATGGTATGACCTTATAGTCCCAAGAGCTTAATGATCTTTATAATCAGTTGTTGTCGTGTCATAAGTCTAAAAATTAAAAGAAAGATGAACAAAATGAAAACTTCTCATTTAAAAAAAGGAATTTCCACTATTAATCTTGTTGTTTTCTTCTTCTTTGATATTAATATATTTAAGGCGTAGGCAGCTGAGAAATAATGGATTAAAAATTAGAAGAATTTAATACAGAGCAATATCTTTCACCCCAAAAGTAGGCAATAATTATCTGAAATTCTCAACAGCTTTTAAAATACATAGAATTTGCCTAAAAATAGCAATGGTATACGAGAAATATTGAGGAAGAGTTTTATGGAAATTAAAAAGTGTATAAAAAAATAAGAAATTATTTAATATTGAAAAATGTTTTAATCTTTTAATATGAAAAAATGTCCACAAAGCAGTTTAAAAAAAAAAAGAGACAAATTCACGTCATTAATTTTTTTAAGCTTATGTTTTATAAAAATTTGTACAAATTGCATTTATTTAGCTCTCTTCACACTTTCCGCTCAAATAAAAACTTGAAAAAAATCAAACTAATATTAAATTATGCAAATTAGTACTAGCGATTTCGTATTTAATTCTAGTTACAACAATCAACATTGCTAATTGAGCGTGATTGTAAATTTATTGCTCTCCTCAAGTTTATAAAAAATAAATCATCAAATTATAAAATTCCAAAAATTCAACAAAACATATATGTACATATGTACATAAAATGTGCTAGAAAAAGTAGCAAATTTTCAAATTTTTCAATGTGAAAAAGACAAATTTAGTAAAATATATTTAAATTCAAAACAAAAAGTTTACAAATTACAGCCTTTACATAATCGGAAAATCGAAGTGCGCTAAATAAGGGAAAGCACTTGACATACATTGTTTTGTATATGCACCTATGTATGTACATAATTAAAGAAAATAAAATTAAAATAAATTAAATATAAAACATTTGAGGTAAACAAGTTTACAATTGCTCGACGCCTTTTTAATAGTAACTAACTAATCAATTTGTGTTAAGCTCCAAAAGGAAAAAAAGGAAAAATTCAAAAGCCAACAAAGAATAACACAATTTATGCTCGAATGTCCGAGCAACGTGTTCTCTAGTTGTTTAGTATTTAGATTTCGCTTTTCGCAGCGTTAATGGAATTCTTCGTAGCTAATCAAATTTATATTTAAATTGTGACGTAATGCTCATATATTCGTAAACATATATTTACTGTATATATATACAGCTGTGCTGAAATGTTTGTATGTATGCGCTTGTGTAGCGCTGTAGCGCTTCGGAAGCAATAAACAAGGTTTATAAAACTTGTTGAGTAGGGGAAAATACACACAAAAACAAAAAAAAAAAAAAAAAAAAACTAGACAGAATACCAGCACAATATCGAAATAAGGGAAATAATTAAAAGCAAAGGATAAAATCAACAAATAAAATGAGTGTAAAAAGAGAATCTTTTTTTTTTGTTATTTTAAGAATATCTTAAAACATTTTAAGTTATTTTTACCTTTAAATTTTTATCTAATTTTTTGGATTTTATTTTTTTATGCTTTATATTTTTATTTTAATTTTTTATGATTTTCGTCTTAAATTTTAAATTTTTCTAGGTTATATTTTTTAATATATTGCTTTTTTTCTATTAAATATATTAGTTTTTAATTTTTTACGTATCTCAATTTTATTGTAATTTTTTTTAATTCTTTTTTCAATTTAATTCTATTTATTAGTTATTTAATATCATTAGCTTTTATAATTTGTATGCTTTTGAATATGATTTAAATTTTTTTACTAATTAATCACACTTTACTTCTTTATTTTTTTTATTTTAATTTAAATTTTTATATTTTTAAAGTTTTTTAAAAAATTATTTTTTTTTTTATTAAATTCTTTAGTTTTAAATTTTTTACGTCATTCACTTTCATTTCATTTTTTATTAATTTTGATTTAAGTTTATTTTTAATTTTGATATATTAATATTTTAAATTCTTTTTAATATTTTTTTTTTGTAAATTTTTTGATATTTTTTTTATCATTCTATTCTTAGTATTTTATTTAAATTTAATACGATTATTTAACTTTTTTAATATCAGAAAAAAATAGATTTCAAATGCAATTGTAATATGTATCTGTGTGCAAATTTTGCGCTTAAGCTCCCCAAATTGTATACAAATTTGGCAGAGAGCACGCCACACTTGTCTCTTGTCAAATGCCTCGGCTCGATTCAGCTCATCTAAGAGCTCAGAATGGCTAGCGAGGCCGCCCGTCGCTTTATAATGAGAGGCAGTGGATTTGTGTTGAAATTCTGTAAACGTTTATGGCAAATGTCCGTTGAAAATCAAGTTCATGGGCAATGACAATCAAGTGCACGTACTTGAGTAGAAGCGAGCATACCTATAGTCGTACGTGCACGTATCTGTAGATGTATAATGTATGAAAATATGCAAATGAATATATGCAAGAATTGACATCATAAATATGTTAATACGAAGGCACGGCTTAACCAATTGATACTTGTTGCTAGCAAAAATATATAAAATAATATAAAATAGAAAAATAAAAAAATTCAAAAAAAAAAAACAATTTTAAAAAAACATAAATGTATAAACAAAAATTTTAAAAAATAAAATAAATAAAATATATAAAATAATAAAATAATAAAAAAAAGAAAAAAAATAAAAAATATAAAAATAAGAGTAATACAAACATGGTTAGTTGTGCTTAAAAATATCAGAATTAAAAAAAGTAAAAATAAAAAACTAGCTCAGGCATATAATTATTATATTAGGCCAACTCTAAAGAGTATATATGTATGTACACGTATAAGCAAACAGAGCGTTGTTCTACTGTTAAAAAATATTTACTTCGAAGTCACAACTTGTTTGCTTCATTCTTTCGCATTGGTTTTTGTTTTACTTTCAATTTCATTGAATTTCAGAAGAATTAAAAAAAAAAACAGTTAATAAATTAGGCAAAGCCAATGCTTAAATAAATGTACCTGTGTACATATATGCATACACACATCGCAGAAAGGCAGACTCAAAAAGTAACAAAAATAATATTAAAAAAAAAACATGACAAATTACGACAAACACTAAAGCTATTTGGCAAATATGGTCATAAATTTTGTTAAACATTTTTGTTTCCATTTTTTTTACTTTTTTTTTGTTTTTTAATATTTCAACTTCCTACATTTAAAAAAATTTTTTTTCTGCCTTTCACGTTTGTAAATATTTGTGTTGATATGTATGTATATAAGGTCTATTTAATTTGTATACTTAAGTATTTTTCAACTCCAAGCCATTGAGGCGTACTGCCATTTGGAAAGCCCGGGTTCAAATCCTGGTGCGACCAACATTCAAAATTTGTAGAAAATCAATTAAATTTAAAAATTTAGTTAAATTTTCTAATTGCGGTCATCCCTCGGCAGGGAATGACGAATGTTTTTGTGACATGAAATAAAGCTCCACATAACAAAAAAAATAAGCCGTTCGGTGGCAGCTTAGAAAAACTGTAGGTCACTCCATTTGTTGGAAAAAAATCAAGTCAAAAAAAAAAAACACAAATTAGAAGAGAAGCTCAGCGGAAAATCGCTTCAGCGTATATATATATATAAAATAGTTGTAACAGTTACATTTAATAAGGCCTTAATTCAATTAATTAGTATGTCAGCCTAAATGTAGGCAACATTTAACATTGAAAATCTTAACAAACTTCAAATAAATGGGGATTAAACTAAAAAAGTAGTAATTAACAGAATTAAATGCTTTCCGCGCTTCTACTCGGCACCGCCTTATGCCACCGCAATCACTCGTGAAGCACTAAAGCGTAAAAAGAAACTAAATAAAAATGAATAAACAGTAAATAAATAAAAGATTACCTCAACACTGACTGGCCTGTTGATGGCAGGAGCAAAGTGTGTTGCACAACTTTAATGTTGATTATTAATTATCAGCTTTTGAATTATTTGATTATTATATTTTTAAATAAACACGCGATAAATGTGCAGCTTACTACTTTGCGGGAGGTTCCAAGAAATTTTAATATTTATGTATATTTGCTTGTGAATTAAAATGTTAATGGAGCACATAGACAAGAACGACATTTAATAATGGTCGCTGACGGTGGATATGTATCGAAAAATATGCTATGGAATTGATATAAATATTTTAAAATTTCTTTCTTTAGTTCAAAATTGTAATTATTTAATGAGCAGTAGTCTTTCAATTTTAAGCTATTATTATTTTTAGAAACTTAAGTATAAATATATGCGCTGACTATTACTACTTTGAATCGCTTCAAAAACTACAATAGTATATCTGCCTAAATGTAGGCAACATTTAATACTGAAATTCTCAATGGTCTTACAGAAATAGAAAGTTGTATTGCTTGCAAAAAAAAAATTAATAATAAAATACAATATTGTGTACTAAGTCCAAGGCAAATATTAAAATAAATAATTTATTAAATTATTAATAAAGTGTAAATTCTTATTTTAGTTGTATAAACTTGTCTCACTGAATTTGTCATATTTGGTAAATCTCATCTACATAAATAAATGACAAAAGTTTGATATTTGGAAATTAATTATGTATCGATATAGTAAATTTTGTTATCGATTATTAGTTAGTGCTTAGAAAAAATTAAAAAATGATTAAAAAAAATTATTTTTATAAATTTCTAAATAAATAAAATTAAAAAACAAATTAATATAGTTTAATTAAGGTAAAAAACAACTTTTTAACATTTCTTATATTTTTTTTTTATACTTTTTTTTTTGAATTTCGCAGGCATCTGTTATGCGCTTAGCTATTTTAAATTTTGTTACCAATCAAATGTATTACAATGTCGTTGACACTTATTCACTGCCTGGCGTGCCTGTATGACAAATTTCAATATGCAAATTTACATTGCTCATATATACACACACATATACATACAAACATAATTATACAAGCAGACTGTCGTGCATGTGTCATAAGACTCAATGGCAAAATGTTAAGAAGCATGACGTGCCCCACGAAAGAATTCTCTTTTCAATTTTAGCCTTTCGTTTGTTAATAACGATAAATTTATATGTAAATAAATATCAAATATAAATACATATTGTACATGCATATATACTTGATAGTATCTAAAATGTAGAGGAGTATAAATGATCAAGTGTTGAAATGTTTGTGTGGTCATCTTTAGTTTTATTTGTAAAATTATAAATTTATTTTAATAAGCACTCAATGTGAATATATTATACATATATGTATTTATAATATACGGCGATTCATTAGTATTACACGTCATTCTTACATAACCTTCACTATTAATAAAAATGCAAAAAAAAGTAATTAAATTAAAGAAGGCAATATAGCAATTTAAAACTATTTTAAGCTTTGTTATTATGTTAGGCAGTATGCATGGAGATAATGAAGCGGAGAGCTGAGCTCTAGGAAGACATACGCATTAGTTCATTGACTGGATTTTTAGCAATATTTTATTCATAATAAGAATGATCAATTCAAGTTAAATTTCGTTAATTGAAAAAATGTTGTTGTTGGATATAAAAATATATATGTATGTATGTAGATACATATACATATAAGTACTATATCTATTATTTAAGATAAAGATAATAAATTTCAATTGGAAAGTCAATTAAGGAAGCCATGAAAGTATTTATATTAATATATGTATATATTTTATTAGGTAAAGTAAAAAGTTAGTTCGGTTTTTATCTAAGGGCTGGCGGTATTGTCCATAATACTAGTGTTGCGAGTCGCATCATGTCATACAATACGGCGCTGAAAACGTGTTTCTTCGCGAAAAGTTTGTCCTTGACAGTTTTTCGATTGATTGGCTCAGTACGTTGTGAGCGCTCGTCAAAGATGAACACCAGCAAGGACAAAATTCGCTAAATTTTACAATTTTTATTCGATCAAGGCGAAAAAGCAGCCAAAGCGGCTGAAAAAATTAATTTAGTTTATGGCCCCGATACTGTAAACGAACGTGTAGCACAAAAGTGGTTTGCAAGGTTCCGTTCCGTTAATTTCGATGTCAAAGATGCACCAGGTTTTGCTGTGTATTTGGTGGTATTGGCAAGGAATCATCTAATACGAGCTCCTCCCCTATGGCCAAACGCCCTTGGCCCTCTACTGCCGGTCTACAACTGGACCGCTTGAAGGCAGCACTCATTCAGAAGATGCCATCATTGTTCAACAGAGGTCCATCAGGACAACGCCAGGCCACACACGACTTTGGTGATGCACCAGAAGCTCTAGGAGCTCGAATGGTAGGTCCTAATGCATCCACCTTATAGTCCGGACCTGACACCAAGTGATTGCCATCTTTTTCTGTCCATGGTGCACGCGCTTATGGTGTGAAGTTGGCCTCAAGAAAGGTTTGTGAAAATGAGCTCTGCGAGTTTGTTACCAATAGGGACCCAGCCTTCTACTCGAGGGGGGTATAATAAAGTTGGCATCTCGTTGGCAACAAGTTTACGAACAAAACAGCGCATAAAAAAAATCAATAAAAAACCGAACGAACTTTTTATTTGACCTAATATATAAGCAAAATAAAAGAAAAGAATAAAATTGAACCATACAAATCTTTGATTAAAAGAGTAAGAATGAGATTGGTTCATGTCTTGAAATTTCAAGTAAATCGAACCATAAAATAATTTTTTTTTATAATAAATTGGTTCCAGGCACCAAATATTAAGTAAATCGATTCTTTTAGGATAGGTAGGTCCCAGTTCCAATTCCTGGTATAAAAAGTTGTCATTATCTTAACTGAAAAAATGAGGTGCCTCTTCACCAAGCAAATCGAACAATAAATAAGAATTTTTCGAAATTTTATTTTCCTATCAAAAATATGGAATCTTCCGAGTTACACTCTTCGGATTTTAATGAAGCTCTCGTGAAGATTTTGAAAAAATTGTAGTTTATATGCGCCATAGATACATATATGTAGGAAAAGCTGTGAATTTAATTCTTCAAAATATACTTTTCTGTTGTTGGTAATTAATTAAATAAATTTTATAAAATTCAACCGAACTGAATCAAACTGAATATTCGTATCTTTTCGTTATTTTTGTCCATTACTTAAGCTTCGTCTAGTCAGTATTTCCTTCAAAATCGTTCAGAGATGCGGTTATTAGGATCCCATCTTTATATATATACGTGTATACATCCTTTTATACAAAGTGGTTTCCAATAAGAGGTGTTATTTTGAATAGCCTTCTATTCCGGTAGATGTCTCTCTTGAAGCTGTAATTTTTTATACATTTGACAAGTAAAAAAATTCACTATAAAAATTTCAACGAAAAATCATCTTGACCGTTGAGCAGCCAGCGTGGTCACTGGACGTTACTTTTTCGAATATGAATGAATTGCGCTATCGAAAGATGAATAATGAGTTTGTATGGACTGAATCAAACTGGACAAAGTTTACTTTCGACAAGACGGCGCACAAGCAACGAAAAAATCCATCGACCTTATAAAGGAAAGTTATTTTTTGAATATAAAAATAATATTTCTTATTGGAAAACCTTAATATAAAATATATGGATTAGTCAGCTGTTTAACATGTTCTTGCGAATTTCCTACGCAAATTTTACTCATGCGCCATGTGGCGACCGCGAATTCTCGAATCATTCACACATTCCGCATATTTGTCAATTGCACTGGAAAAAATTATTTTTAAGTTGAGAAATATTTTAATAATGCTTTAAGAGTGTGTCTGGAATACCTAAAAAAAATGTTAGAATCGAAGAACAATAACATATTGCCTTAAAAAAAAAAGTTAATATTTAATCCTAAAATAAAATACCATAAATTTAGTATGGTCATGAAAGGTATCAGGTTCACTTTGCAAGCATTTGGTGGTTGTTAACACTTGGCGCTGGGTAAAATAAATCTATTACTATTTTATATTGTAGTTAGTTAATTGTTGTTGCTCAATCACGGGATCTCTGATACCTATGTGTGTGTGGGGCTATAAGAGAGATTACTCTCAACTACCCAGATGCTCAAACCACTTGGTTAGCTTTATAAAATACACCAGATTATTGACACTTGCTGACGCAATATCTGCAAGTCAATCAAAGTGGGAATTACTGAGGAAACGATATCGATATCGGGTTCCAATTGGGGCGGGCAATGGCGGAGGTAGAGTTCTAGCGCTACCTCCTCGTACATGTAGCTGCAGCTGCGACTGAGGTCTCCAGTCAAATAGCCTATTTTTCTATTATATGACACCATCAAACAGTGTCCGATTATTACGCTCTTTATCATGACCGTGGTAGTTCTTTTTAGAAGGATTAGAGACTTAGTTCTTATTTCACCGATAAAAACGAAATCTCTCCGATTACGTTGCATGCAATTTCACCCTGCCATCTGCTTTGGCATGGCTGGTGAAGCACGATCTTAGCAGGCATAACGTGTGCAGAACTTACCTTGGTTAGGTTTGCTAGCTTATCGGTCTCGCTATTTCCAGGCTTATTTCTATGCTCGGGTACCCAAATCACGAACGTTTCGCATGCAGTCGAGAGTTTGTTTCAGATTTTCCTACATCTTATTGCCACCTATGAAGTGGTGGGTTTACAATGAAGAGACTTATTAACAGCTTGGCTGTCGGAACATATTATAATAGGTTAAGTTACTGTACTAGAGTTGAGTAACCATAAAACCGCCTCCTCACAGTGCAGTTAGTTCAGCTTGAAAGACGCTGCTGCAGTGGACGGGAAGCCTCTTGCTCATATCAGTTGGAAGTAGTGTAGAGTGAACGGAGGTTGTGGCGCTGCTTAGAGCTGTTAGTGAAGATAACTACGGATATTTGGTGCAGAACTGTTACATTTTCAAGTTCCTGTCTCGCTGGGATTTTTGTTGAGAAATGATGTCGTTGAGAAATTATTTCTTTTTCATAAATTTTTAGTTTCCTGCTTTGACCGAACGTTTGATTTTGTATACAAAAATACAAAAATAAAAAGTTGGCACTACAAATTTTCCCAGTTGAACATCTAGACCTTATACTTAACACTTTATTTACACTTTATTCATATTTTTTATTATTTATTAATTTAAGCTATTTTTATATCAATAATATCAATAGTTAAGTTGCTAAGAGCGCTCTCATGGGTGAACTCATAAAATACAATATAAATAATAAACTCAAATATAAAGCAATTATTCAGAATTTTTTTTTAGAGTGTACACACATATTAATTTCTCTTTTTTTGTTGCAGGAAATACTCGCCGAATCTGAAGAACTTAAATCATCACATAAAGAGATTGAGGCGCTCTCAAAATCAATCGTCACATTCCTTGGGGAAGTTCACCAACCCACATCGCAGGCCCTACAGGCCAAAGTGGATAACTTAGTACAGCAGCAAACAAAGTGAGTACCAAATTTAATCTTTAATCCCCTTTTTATATTAGAACAAAATTATTATAGAAAAGAAAAACTTATTATTAATAATAATTTAAAGTCCGTCGTATAAATAAAAATTATAATTAAATTAAAACTTCATAGTTTGTCAATAGAACATATCGAATGGAAAGCATTATTATCATAAGATAAGCCGCCGATTTGAATATCTGATAGACGACGAAACGGGTCAGTCACCTAAAATGTGCACACCTTGTTTTTGATAGTAATATTTTTTACGTGTAAAGAAAAATTTGACATTGCTACCAAGCCTTTCAACAATTTTTTTCTTTGCCTCTCCCCCTTGCGTCAATACTTCAGTCGGACCCACCTGTTGTGGCAATCGTAATCTGAGCCACACGTTTTGCGGTCTTTTTCGCAATTTGTTCATGCCTACAAGTTTTCACGCATTCTTGGCGGTGGCGCTGGTGTCATTTTCACAATTGCATAACTACTCAGTGCCTGTATTTGTAATTGTAATTGTAATTGCTACCAATGTGTCTGCAATATACGCGTAAGGCATTTGAAATATTTAAAAAGAAATGGGTTTAAAGTTTCTTTCGTCCGACTCCACCTGATTATGGTGTGCGTTATTCGATATATGTAATTGAGTATGTGGTATGTCGATGGCGTCAGTGGTGACAAGGCCACAATTGCGGTTGGATCTTTTGCTCACTGCCTTTCTACCCCTTCATTCTCTCTCACTCACACACTCACTCACTCCTCTACACACTTCTTTGATGACAATTATACTGTTAGCGGTTTTTGTCACTGATATGAATGCTCCCTCCATGCTGCTAAGTCGCTTGTTGTTGTTCGCCTGTCTGAGCGCTTTGAAGCGTTTATTGTTGGTTTCATTGAGTGGATTTATTAATGTGTTTCAAGGCGACATAAAAATTAGATTAATTGCGCACAGACCGAGATGTGATGACAAGTAAATATATAGTCGAACGTACATACATACGATGCATGTACTATGTCTCTATGTACTTAAAGTGCTTTTCTTTTTGTCACACCATGATCAACCAATACGCACATACAGAGTAACTTCCGCAATGGATATTCACATATTTGGTTAATATCGAAGATATTGTGTAGGACAATGGAGCAGTGAAGTGGTGCGGTTTTAATTAAAGCAAGCTTGTTTTTTAATATTTGGAAATTTTTATATTAAGTATAATAAAGGTTTTACTGCTAGAATACAATTTTTGAGGCGCTTAACATTTCAGGCGCCTACATGTAGGCATATATTATTTACGTTGCCTATGTATAGGCGTATTTTTTAAATTCTGGAAAAGCGATTTTACAAGAAGTTGAAAGCTCCGCCTAAACAGGGACGTATATAAATTTTGTTGCCTACATTTAGGCATATTTTTTACATTTAAAAAAGTTACGCAGTAAGAAATGAGAAGTTACTCCTTGAAGAAATTTCGTTTATATAGCTATTTTATGTTATTGAAATGAAAATACAGGTTTCGGAACTTCTTTTTTTGTTTAGTTGCATATTTTTCCCATTTTGCTTGCATAATTTTTAATTTTAAGCGTCAAAGTTTTCATTGAGTTGCCTGCAAATAGGCGCAATATTTTGTTTATGTTTTCTTGAATGGAAAACTAATAACTAGTGCTGCACCAGATATATGTTCTTTGTTTAATTTCTGTAAAAATCAACAGTATTGGTTTGACTAAAATTTTGTTCTTTTTTTGCCAATTTTATATTTTTACTGTATTTGAGCGGTTTTAAGTTAAATTTTGTAAACAATTTTAAGAAAAATTTTATTCAATTCTACTGTTTCTGAAAATATTTGTGTATTTTAACATTCAAAAATTTTCAGATTTATGCTCTGATCATTTCATGTGCTATATATTATATGTTGCCTACATTTAGGCGAAATTGTTTTATAAAACGGTGTTGATATCAAATCGTTATCACAGATTTAATTGGGGGATAATATATTAATCAGTAATTCATCTAACAACTGCAATTGGCAGCCAATAGCTTACGCTGTCCAGTGCACCTCTTTCATTCTTATTATTATAATTAACAGATCAATTATTGAAATTAACATTTTTACTTATAATAAATTTAAAGAAATCTACGTATCATTGCTCTAACCTCTTTATTTTTGGGTGAGCTGCGCGGTTTATAGAAACTCCTTAATCCAGGGTTGAGTCAGAAGCTGTTGCGCCTAAATGTAGGCAACATTTTTTCGCGAACATGACTGTTGCATACATTTAGGGTGAACTACTATTTTTTATTTTTTTTGAATAATTTTTAATCAATAATTTGAAACTAATTTCCTAGCAAAAATCTATCTATATTTTTTCATTGTATTTTTATCTAACCAAAATCCACTTGAAAATCCGTAATATATGCAGTGGGAAAACATTTGACACTTAAATGGAAAATACGCCATCATTTCCGACTTATTATTTAACTAATTAATACATTTGTTTGTCTATATGTACATATGTACTAAAAAAACACACACATTCACACTGCTAAATAACCACAGCGTGTGGCGCTAAATGCCAGCAACAAATTAACTTGTTGCCAATTAATGTTTGTCAGCTATTATCGGAATTGAAAATGACAATTATTTCTTGTTGTAGTTGTTGTTGTTATAAAGTAAGCACTTATTGCGCTATCATTAAGTTTTGCAAAAAAAAAAAAAGAGTTAATAAAAAAATAAAATTAAAATGAAGAAAAAAGTCAAGAGGGAAAATGTTGTGATTGTGTTTAGGAAATAAAATATAATAATAAAACAAAAAACTTCCAAATCAGCAAAGTAAATCGAGAGCCCAACCCAAGCACTAGTAGTACCCAGCCATTAACTACATCGCAGATTTTCGTATATTGAATAAACGAAAGGCCTAATACATAGTTCTATATCTATATGTATGTATGTATGTATGTATGTATGTATGTATGTATGTATGTATTGGGTTGCCCAAAAAGTAATTGCGGATTTTTTTAAAGAAAGTAAATGCATTTTTAATAAAACTTAGAATGAACTTTAATCAAATATATAATTGCCATTTTGTTCGATAACCATTTGCCATCTTCCTGGCAAATTTAGTATTCCCCGCTCATAGAACTTCTGGCCTTTACCTGCAAAAAACTGAACCAAGTGCAATTTTATAGCCTCATCATTGCCGAAAGTTTTACCATTTAAGGAGTTCTGCAAAGATCGAAATAAATGGTAGTCTGATGGTGCAAGGTCAGGGCTATATGGTGGATGCATCAAAAGTTCCCAGCCAAGCTCACTCAGTTTTTGGCGAGTGACCAAAGATGTGTGCGGTCTAGCGTTGTCCTGGTGGAATATGACACCTTTACGATTGACCAATTCTGGTCGCTTCTCCTTGATGGATATATTCAATTTGTCCAATTGTTGACAGTAAACATCCGAATTAATAGTTTGGTTCCTTGGAAGCAGCTCAAAATATACGACACCCTTCCAATCCCACCAAACAGACAGCATAACCTTCTTTTGGTGGATATCAGCCTTTGAAGTGGTTTGAGCTGGTTCACCATGCTTGGACCATGATCGTTTTCGACTAACGTTGTTGTAAACAATCCATTTTTCATCTCCAGTTATGATTCGTTTTAAAAACGGATCGAATTCATTGCGTTTAAGGTGCATATCACAAGCGTTGATTCGGTGTGTTAAATGAATTTCTTTCAATACATGTGGTACCCAAATATCAAGCTTTTTCACCAGTCCAAGACTTTTTATGTGATAATGAACGGTTGATTTTGGTATATTTAACTTCTCTCCTATCTCACGCTCAGTTACATGACGATCCAATTCGATTAATGCTTTGATTTGGTCATCATCAACTTCATTTGGCCGACCTGAACGTGGCTCATCTTTAAGTGAAAAATCTCCAGAACGGAATTTGCGAAACCAATTTTGACACTGTCTTCCTTTTAAGGCTTCATCACCATACACATCTCGTAACTTTTTAGCAACCTGCTCCGCGTTTTTTCCTTTACGGAAATAATAAAGTAAAATATGACGAAAATGCTCCTTTGTGGGCTCCATATTAAAATTGACGCCAAACAAACAAATGTAAACAAAATTTCGCGCACTTTTTTTCTAAAGCAAGCTAAAAGTAACAGCTGATAGCTGACAGAAGAAAGAATGCAATTACAGAGTCACAAGCCGTTGAAAAAATTTGTCAATGCCGACTATGTGAAAAATCCGCAATTACTTTTTGGGCAACCATATGTATGTATGTAGGCATGCCTTTTGTCATAGCCCACTTGGCGATTGACTGCCCACAGTGGTTAGCACTCAATTATTATAACTTTTTATTTTTGTTTCTTGCTCTGATAACGATAATTAAATTTATTTATTTTATTTTATTTTGTTGATATCTTTTATTCTTGTTACTGCGGCGTTGTCTGTTCACGTTGTATATATTTCATATTAAATTTCTATGTGTTAGTGTAACTCTAGTAATTTTAGTGTATTTATTTATAGTATCGATAAAAGCTAAAAATGTCAAAGCCACATAAGCGCAACATTATCATATGTTAACGCAATTGTAAAAAGCGTGCTGGCAGCGGCGCTGACTGAGCATGAAAATAGTTTAAATCACGTGTATTTAGGAATATTTGGGAAAATCAAAAGCAAGTGTGGTTTATTATTCCTTTCTTTTATTATTTTTGAATATTTCTTTTACGTAGTGTGAATATTAGCATTGTGACGTCACAAATGTAGTGTTATAAATAGCAAGAAGAAAAAAAAAAACAAAAACTTACGCCAACTAAATTTTTTAAATTTTGTTTTCACAATAAGTCTTGTGCTCAAAGACTTTCAGCAATATTGCTTAGCAACTTGCTGCTCTTGCTACATTGCAACACTTTGCGCTTAAAAGCTTTCGCGCTCTCTGTCTCTCTCTCTCTCTGCCTTAGTGCTTTTTCTCTCAACCATTTTGCGTTCGTTTAAAGATTTGTTCTCTCATAT